GAGTGAAAACCTCCTTCCATCAGCAAGGGCATTGAAGATGAAACGTGGCTGGGTCTTTCAGCATGACAATGATCCCAAACACACCGCCCGGGCAATGAAGGAGTGGCTTCGTAAGAAGCATTTCAAGGTCCTGGAGTGGCCTAGCCAGTCTCCAGATCTCAACCCCATAGAAACTCTTTGGAGGGAGTTGAAAGTCTGTGTTGCCCAGCGACAGCCCCAAAACATCACTGCTCTAGAGGAGATCTGCATGGAGGAATGGGCCAAAATACCAGCAACAGTGTGTGAAAACCTTGTGAAGACTTACAGAAAACGTTTGACCTGTGTCATTGCCAACAAAGGGTATATAACAAAGTATTGAGAAACTTTTGTTATTGACCAAATACTTATTTTCCACCATAATTTGCAAATAAATTCATTAAAAATCCTACAATGTGATTTTCTGGATCTTTTTTTCTCATTTTGTCTGTCATAGTTGACGTGTACCTATGATGAAAATTACAGGCCTCTCTCATCTTTTTAAGTGGGAGAACTTGCACAATTGGTGGCTGACTAAATACTTTTTTCCCCCACTGTATGTAACATTTCGTGTCTCCTTATGTTACGGGGGGCTCACATATCCAAAACATGCGCATTTGGTGTCCAGCTGAATAGTTAAGCCTTGATATTTTCACACATCATCTGATCCAGGAAGGAACTTTCCAAATGACAGTCAATTGACTAACAGCTGTTGTGATAGCGCATGCGATGCAACAACAGCCCAAGTGCTGGAAAAAAGGTGTTTGCGAGGAATGTCCAGAATATTTTAGTGTCTCATTCGTTATGCCAGTGACAGTTGTACCTGGTTCCATGTTGGATCTAATATCCCTAGCGAATTGATGTTGATCATCTGTCTGCTTGATTTACAGCAGGGTCTCATTAGATTCAACAGAGAAAGCATCAAGGTAATGTGTTCATGTTTTCATAAGTTTTTGTGCCTCAGATTGGACACTGAGTCTACTATGTGCAATTGTGTAGGATAGACTATTGCGCAACACCCAATACTTTTCCTATTAATTATTCTGCATATAATGACAACAAATTATACTGAACAAAAATATGAATGTGTTGTGTGACAAAACTGCACATTTTAGAGAGGCCTTTTATTGTCCCCAGCACAAGGTGCACCTGTGTAATGATCATGCTGTTTAATCAGCTTCTTGATATGCCACACCTGTCAGGTGGATGGATTATCTTGACAAAGGAGAAATGCTCACTAACAGGGATGTAAACAAATTTGTGCACAACATTTTAGAGAAATAAGCTTTTTGTGCGTATGGAACATTTCTGGGATCTTTTATTTCAGCTCATGAAAAATGGGACCAACACTTTTTCACAATATGATCTGGTAATGAAATAACATGACAAATAATTCTCTTTTACCCGGTAAGTTGACTGAGAACAGATTCTCATTTACAGCAATGACCTGGAGAATAGTTACAGGGGAGAGGAGATGAATGAGCCAATTGGAAGCTGGGGATGATTAGGTGGCCATGATATGGTATGGTATGAGGGCCAGATTGGGAAAATCAAATCAAATTGTATTTGCCACATGCGCCGAATACAACAGTAGACATTACCGTGAAATGCTTACTTACAGCCCTTAACCAACAATGCATTTATTTCTTAATAAAAAAGTAAAATAAAATAACAACAACAAAAAAGTGTTGAGAAAAAAAGAGCAGAAGTCAAATAAAATAACAGTAGGGAGGCTATATACAGGGGGGTACCGGTGCAGAGTCAATGTGCGGGGGCACCGGCTAGTTGAGGTAATATGTACATGTGGGTAGAGTTAAAGTGACTATGCATAAATAATTAACAGAGTTGCAGCAGCGTAAAAAGATGTGGTGGGGGTGCAAATAGTCAGAGTAGCCATGATTAGCTGTTCAGGAGTCTTATGGCTTGGGGGTAGAAGCTGTTGAGAAGCCTTTTGGACCTAGACTTGGCGCTCCGGTACCGCTTGCCGTGCGGTAGCAGAGAGAACAGTCTATGACTAGGGTGGCTGGAGTCTTTGACAATTTTGAGGGCCTTCCTCTGACACCGCCTGGTATAGAGGTCCTGGATGGCAGGAGGCTTGGCCCCAGTGATGTACTGGGCCGTACGCACTACCCTCTGTAGTGCCTTGCGGTCGGAGGCCGAGCAGTTGCCATACCAGGCGGTGATGCAACCAGTCAGGATGCTCTCGATGGTGCAGCTGTATAACTTTTTGAGGATCTGTGGACCCATGCCAAATCTTTTCAGTCTCCTGAGGGGGAATAGGCTTTGTCGTGCCCTCTTCACGACTGTCTTGGTGTGTTTGGACCATGATAGTTCGTTGGTGATGTGGACACCAAGGAACTTGAAGCTCTCAACCTATTCCACTACAGCCCCGTCGATGAGAATGGGGGCGTGCTCAGTCCTCTTTTTTTCCCTGTAGTCCACAATCATCTCCTTTGTCTTGGTCACGTTGAGGGAGAGGTTGTTATCCTGGCACCACACGGCCAGGTCTCTGACCTCCTCCCTATAGGCTGTCTCATCGTTGTCGGTGATCAGGCCTACCACTGTTGTGTCGTCGGCAAACTTAATGATGGTGTTGGAGTCGTGCCTGGCCATGCAGTCATGGGTGAACAGGGAGTACAGGAGGGGACTGAGCACGCACCCCTGAGGGGCCCCCGTGTTGAGGATCAGCGTGGCAGATGTGTTGTTACCTACCCTTACCACCTGGGGGCGGCCCGTCAGGAAGTCCAGGATCCAGTTGCAGATTGAGGTGTTTAGTCCCAGGATCCTTAGCTTAGTGATGAGCTTTGAGGGCACTATGGTGTTGAACGCTGAGCTGTAGTCAATGAATAGCATTCTCACGTAGGTGTTCCTTTTGTCCAGGTGGGAAAGGGCAGTGTGGAGTGCAATAGAGATTGCATCATCTGTGGATCTGTTGGGGCGGTATGCAAATTGGAGTGGGTCTAGGGTTTCTGGGATAATGGTGTTGATGTGAGCCATGACCAGCCTTTCAAAGCACTTCATGGCTACAGACGTCAGTGCTACGGGTCGGTAGTCATTTAGGCAGGTTATCTTAGTGTCCTTGGGCACGGGGACTATGGTGGTCTGCTTGAAACATGTTGGTATTACAGACTCAGTCAGGGACATGTTGAAAATGTCAGTGAAGACCCTTGCCTAGTGTCTTGGTACACGTCCTGGTAATCCGTCTGGCCCTGCGGCCTTGTGAATGTTGACCTGCTTAAAAGTCTTACTCACATCGGCTACGGAGAGCGTGATCACATAGTCATCCGGAACAGCTGGTGCTCTCATGCATGCTTCAGTGTTGCTTGCCTCGAAGCGAGCATAGAAGTGATTTAGCTCGTCTGGTAGGCTTGTGTCACTGGGCAGCTCGCAGCTGTGCTTCCCTTTTGTAGTCTGTAATAGTTTTCAAGCCCTGCCACATCCAACGAGCGTCAGAGCCGGTGTAGTACGATTCAGTCTTAGTCCTTTATTGACTCTTTGCCTGTTTGATGGTTCGTCGGAGGGCATAGCGGGATTTCTTATAAGTGTCCGGGTTAGAGTCCCGCTCCTTGAAAGCGGCAGCTCTACCCTTTAGCTCAGTGCGGATGTTGCCTGTAATCCATGGCTTCTGGTTGGGTTATGTACGTATGGTCACTGTGGGGACGACGTCATCGATGCACTTATTGATGAAGCCAGTGACTGATGTGGTGTACTCCTCAATGCTATCTGAATAATCTCGGAACATGTTCCAGTCTGTGCTAGCAAAACTGTAGCTTAGCATCTGCGTCATCTGACCACTTTTTTATTAACCGAGTCACTGGTGCTTCCTGCTTTAGTGTTTGCTTATAAGCAGGAATCAGGAGGATATAGTTATGGTCAGATTTGCCAAATGGAGGGCGAGGGAGAGCTTTGTTTGCGTCTCTGTGTGTGGAGTAAAGGTGGTCTAGAGTTTTTTTTTCCTCTGGTTGCACATTTAACATGCTGCTAGAAATTAGGTCGAACGGATTTAAGTTTCCCTGCATTAACCCAGGTGTCCTGGCCGGGGACTTTAACGCCCCTAGTCTTACAATAAGTGCTATGGGATCTTTAGTGACCACAGAGAGTCAGGACACCCGTTTTTAATGTCCCATCCGAAAGACGGCACCCTACACAGGGTAATGTCCCCAATCACTGCCCTGGGGCATTGGGATATTATTTTTTTATTTTTTTTTTACAAGAGGAAAGAGTGCCTCATATGGCCCTCCAACACCACTTCCAGAAGCATATGGTCTCCCATCCAGGATCAACCCTGCTTAGCTTCAGAGGCAAGCCAGCAGTGGGATGCAGGGTGGTATGCTGCTGGCAACATCTAATGTTGGCTTCAATTTGTATTTCCATACAAATCCTTCCACTATTCATAGCTTTATTATGTGTGCCTGCGGCGGCCACACAGGCTAAAGAAAATTTGCGATGCATGCATCCAATCAATTTAGTCAGGCAGTGTCCACATTATTCTCACATATTTTAGAATGTAATAATAATTTGAATATCAACGCATTGGCAAGGCCTACAATTTGTATTATTCTTAGTGGTAATGGCCTATTTATTTATTTTAATTTTTTTACACTTTTTGCTTGTGTGTGTGGGGGGGGGGGGGGTGGGGGTTCTATATTAGGCCCTATATGTACAATGATATACATTATACAATTGTATAACATTGATGTCCTTGAAAATTACAATTAAGTGCTTGAAAAAGTCCCAGAAAGTCCTTGAATTTGACTTACCAATGTTTGAATGAACCCTGCTTAAAATATATTTTCTTGTGCTCCTAAACACCGGTCTTACCAATATTTGTTGTATTAATTTTGAGCCCTGAGCATAGATAGACTTCAGTCTTGATTGTTGACTTGAGAGCACCCCTATTGGTTTATTGAAGAGGCGTGCATGAATTGTGTAGCCTAGTTAGATGGACATTTTTATGTTATGTTAAAATGTGTCTCTCCCTGTAGATCAGGCTGCCCTCTGGGGAGTCCATGCGGGAGCGCTTCCCGGCCGACGCCCCTCTGCGCAGCGTGATGGAACACATCTCCGGGCGCCACCCCTCCCTGGCCTCCTTTTCCCTCCTCCAGGGGTTCCCACGGAAACGCTTTGGGGAGGCGGAGCTGGCCAAGTCCCTGCGATCCCTGGGCCTCACACCCAACGCCGCCCTCTGCATCCAGACCACACCCCCAGAGACACCCCAGGACCCGCCCAGCCCAGCTGCATGCCTTTTATTGGGCCAGGAGGAGGTGGTGGTTCCACCCCCTGCGCTTCCCCAGCCACAGCAGCCACAGATACCAGAGCTGGAGGAGGAAGGGATGGAGGATCCCGCTCGGCCCCCACGTCTGCCTCACCAGCTGTGGGAAGAAGCAGTGGGCTACGCAGGCATCCCTGGTGTTGGTCCCCAAATGACCGGACCTTCTCACTCCTGGGGTAAGATTCATGTCTGGCATATGAAGACCTCATTCACAATGTATTTGATGTATTTTCAAATATCATAGTTAATGACTTGTTGGTTATTTTTCTACGTTCAGAAATGTATTTTCTTGGAGTATAAATGGTTATACGGTGCCGTGTAACGCTGTATAATTGCCTTACTCACGCAGGCTATTGCATTATGGACCCATTAGTTTGAGCCATCACTTTGTGAAGACACCATAACACCATTACAGGCACTGAGTTTCGTTCAGGCATTCTCTGGGTCAGCTGAATGTGAATTGTTCGCTCCGGGGCGCAGTTTCTCCTAGGTACAGATCAAGGATCAGCTTCCTCTCCCCACATTTAAATTTTTACATTTATGTCATTTAGCAGACGCTCTTATCCAGAGCGACTTACAAATTGGTGCATTCACCTTATAGCCAGTGGGATAACCACTTTACAATATATATATATTTTTTTTGGGGGGGTGGGGTAAGGGGGGGGGTAGAAGGATTACTTTATCCTATCCCAGATATTCCTTAAAGAGGTGGGGTTTCAAGTGTCTCCGGAAGGTGGTGAGTGACTCCGCTGTCCTGGCATCATGAGGGAGCTTGTTCGGTGCCAGAGCAGCGAACAGTTTTGACTGGGCTGAGCGGGAACTGTGCTTCCGCAGAGGTAGGGGGGCCAGCAGGCCAGAGGTGGATGAACGCAATGCCCTCGTTTGGGTGTAGGGACTGATCAGAGCCTGAAGGTACGGAGGTGCCCTTCCCCTCACAGCTCTGTAGGCAAGCACCATGGTCTTGTAGCAGATGCGAGCTTCAACTGGAAGCCAGTGGAGTGTGCGGAGGAGCGGGGTGATGTGAGAGAACTTGGGAAGGTTGAACACCAGACGGGCTGCAGCATTCTGGATGAGTTGTAGGGGTTTAATGGCACAGGCAGGGAGCCCAGCCAACAGTGAGTTGCAGTAATCCAGACGGGAGATGACAAGTGCCTGGATTAGGACCTGTGCCGCTTCCTGTGTAAGGCAGGGTCGAACTCTCCGAATGTTGTAGAGCATGAACCTACAGGATCGGGTCACCGCCTTGATGTTAGCGGAGAATGACAGGGTGTTGTCCAGGGTCACGCCAAGGCTCTTTGCACTCTGGGAGGAGGACACAACGGAGTTGTCAACCGTGATGGCGAGATCATGGAACGGGCAGTCCTTCCCAGGGAGGAAGAGCAGCTCCGTCTTGCCGAGGTTCAGCTTGAGGTGGTGATCCGTCATCCACACTGATATGTCTGCCAGACATGCAGAGATGCGATTCGCCACCTGGTTATCAGAAGGGGGAAAGGAGAAGATTAGTTGTGTGTCGTCTGCGTAGCAATGATAGGAGAGGCCATGTGAGGATATGACCGAGCCAAGTGACTTTGTGTATAGCGAGAATAGGAGAGGGCCTAGAACTGAGCCCTGGGGGACACCCGTGGTGAGAGCACGTGGTGCGGAGACAGATTCTCGCCACGCCACTTGGTAGGAGCGACCTGTCAGGTAGGACGCAATCCAGGAGTGAGCCGCACCGGAGAGGGTGGAGAGGAGGATTTGATGGTTCACAGTATCAAAGGCAGCAGACAGGTCTAGTAGGACAAGAGCAGAGGAGAGAGAGTTAGCTTTAGCAGTGCGGAGAGACTCCGTGACACAGAGAAGAGCAGTCTCAGTTGAATGACCAGTCTTGAAACCTGACTGGTTTGGATCAAGAAGGTCATTCTGAGAGAGACAGCAAGAGATTTGGCTAAAGACGGCACGCTCAAGAGTTTTGGAGAGAAAAGAAAGAAGGGATACTGGTCTGTAGTTGTTGACATCGGAGGGATCGAGTGTAGGTTTTTTGAGAAGGGGTGCAACTCTCGCTCTCTTGAAGACGGAAGGGACATAGCCAGCGGTCAAGGATGAGTTGATGAGCGAGGTGAGGTAAGGGAGAAGGTCTCCGGAAATGGTCTGGAGAAGAGAGGAGGGGATAGGGTCAAGCGGGCAGGTTGTTGGGCGGCCGGCTGTCACAAGTCGCAAGATTTCATCTGGAGAAAGGGGAGAAAGAAGTCAAAGCATAGGGTAGGGCAGTGTGAGCAGGACCAGCAGTGTCATTTGACTTAACAAACGAGGATCGGATGTCCCCCAATCCTAACCTTAACCGTTAGTGGGAACAATGTGAAACTTACTCAAGATCAGCGTCTAGGGGCAACTTCATCCTACTCCAAAGTGTTCATGCAGAGTTTTTCCCTGACAGGACGGGGCCAGAAGCTGAATCCTGGTGATGCTGAGGAGGCTGCCAGCTCAGACGATGAAGAGATGCCAGAGGGGGGTAGAGAGCCGCCCTTCCTCCTCAATGGTACTACACCCTCTGTTTGGAATTGTCTTTTATCCTTCTTTCCTCCCTCCCTCTCCCCTCTTTCTCTCTGTGTCTCGCTGGTTTTTCCTCTGAACTCCTTGTTCTTTACAGTCCAATAAAAATGACCACTCTCCCTCTCTCTGTGTCAGTGGTTAGACAAATGGCTTTGAACTTGATGAGCACTGCAGCCCCATTTGCAGTAGGATTTAATCTACTGCCCCTGGGAATATATATTTTTTACAGCAGGTTACTACAGAAGTAGTTGAAGTGAACCAGTGTGTGTAGAAATCCGTTGAACTAACCTGCCATGGCTGCGGTCCGGATAGTTGAGCAAACTGGGCCAGTAATGACGTTTGATATCTCCTCACTCGCCGTGAGAAAGCTGCTTTTATTGGGAAATAGCAGGTGAATGCGCCCGACTTTCCCACTTATGCAAGTTCGCACTGCACTCGTGCTAAAATAACTCAGTCTTTCTGAGTATTCAAGCTCTGAGGTACAGACAGTAATCTGTGTGCTACACTTAGTGTGAAGCTCATTGCCGGGGATTCTTTTTACAGCCACAGAGGAAGCTAAAGCTGAAGAAGATTAACATTGTGATTAGAGAGAAGATGTTGATGAGAGGCATGTGATATGTCTCAGAGACAGGCATTCAGATTGTTAAATAGCTTTGATATTTGTCTGAAATACACTGTATATACAAAAGTATGTGGACACCCCTTCAAATTTGTGGATTCGGCTATTTCAGCCACATCCGTTGCTGACAGGTGTATAAAATCGAGCACACAACCATGCATCTCCATAGACACACATAGGCAGTAAAATGCCTGTATTGAAGAGCTCAGTGACTTTCAACGTGGCAAGTGCTGTTATTGTGAAGTGGAAACCTCTAGGAGCAGCAACAGCTCAGCCGCGAGGTGGTAGGCCACACGAGGTCACAGAACGGGACCGCCGAGTGCTGAAAAGTTTGGTGGAGGAGGAATAATGGTCTGAGGCTGTTTTTCATGGTTCGGGCTAGGCCTCTTAGTTCCAGTGAAGGGAAATCTTAACGCTAGACGATTCTGTGCTTCCAACTTTGTGGCAAAGGTTTGGGGAAGGCCCTTTCCTGTTTCAGCATGACAATGCCCCGTGCACAAAGCGAGGTCCATACAGAAATGGTTTGTCGAGATCGGTGTGGAAGAACTTGACTGGCCTTCACAGAGCCCTGACCTCAACTGAACACCTTTGGGATAAATTGGAACGCCGACTGCGAGCCAGGCCTGATCACCCAACATCAGTGCCTAACCTGACTAATGCTCTTGTGGCTGAATGGAAGCAAGTCCCCACAGCAATGTTCCAACATCTAGTGGAAAGCCTTCCCAGAAGAGCGGAGGCTGTTATAGCAGCAACGGGGGGACCAACTCCATATTAATACCCGTGATTTTGGAATGAGATGTTTGACGAGCAGGTGTCCACACATTTTTGGTCATGTAGTGTAATTCAAGATGTATGGCTTTTAGAATTAATACAGATTCAAATTGAGTATCCTAAAGGCCTAACCTATGGTTAACCCCAGCAGGTATGCCCCGATTACCCTTCTTCCCAGAGAACCGGCTGCGTGGAGGGCTGGAGCCCAGACACCACTGGCCAGACCAGGGCAACAGACTTAGGTGAGTGCCCAGCCTAAACTTAGCCTATATCATGGCCATGCTGTGCCCTCCACTTTAAAGCAATGTCTTTTTTTGTAACGTAATTTAAATGTAATTTAACATTTGATACTGTCCATGATCTAAAAAATATGTAGGATTATTCAAGTGTCATTGAAATGTAATAGGTAGAAATAGGTCTTTAGAAAGTGGATTGTTTTTCAATGTTGAGTTCTGATCAGCACTGCAACGCCTTATTATAAACTTTAGTTTTATAATAAGGGTTGAGAGCTTCAGGTTGAGAGCTTCAAGTTCCTTGGTGTCCACATCACCAACGAACTATCATGGTCCAAACACACCAAGACAGTCGTGAAGAGGGCACAACAAAGCCTATTCCCCCTCAGGAGACTAAAAAGATTTGGCATGGGTCCTCAGATCCTCAAAAAATTCTACAGCTGCACCATCGAGAGCATCCTGACTGGTTGCATCACCGCCTGGTATGGCAACTGCTTGGCCTCTGACCGCAAGGCACTACAGAGGGTAGTGCGTACGGCCCAGTACATCACTGGGGCAAAGCTCCCTGCCATCCAGGACCTCTATACCAGGCGGTGTCAGAGGAAGGCCCTCAAAATTGTCAAAGACTCCAGTCACCCTAGTCATAGACTGTTCTCTCTGCTACCGCACGGCAAGCGGTACCGGAGTGCCAAGTCTAGGTCCAAAAGACTTCTCAACAGCTTGTTGAACGTGTAGAAGTGTGACAGTGTGCTGAAGGTCAACCATAAGAGGTGACTGGATGTGTTGGCATGCACACTTCAGACTTGGCATGTAGCCTTGCTGGCATGCAGCCTGAGGAGGGTCTCAAGACCTAATCTTGCTCTGTAAATACATGAGTTTTGAATGCAGCAGAGTTCTCCACATTATAGCCACCAGAGTGTGCACTTGCACACTCTCTGTCATGGATTTAAAGTATTGGATTGGTGTAAGCATTGGATTGGTGTAAGCATTGGATTGGTGTAAGTTTCCACCTTTGTTAAATCCATGGCGGGAAGTGTGCACAAGGGTGGAGAATCTGGAAGCTTTTCTTATGTTTAATCAGTTGACTAGATGTCATACAAACGTGGTTGTTTCTCCCAGGGAGGGGGTGGCAGAGGACCCAGCAGTGGAGCCAGAGGAGGCTGCAGGTCGTGTGGTGCCGGGGGCAGCGGGCCAGGCTGCAGTAGAGCGCCTCCAGAGAGCTGCCCAGGACGACCCCCAGGCCACCCAGGGTCACCCATCCCCCCCAAAGAAACCCTTCAGGACGCCCAGCGTCCCCTCCCTCTGTGTCATGGCCACCCGGGCCACAGTCAACCTCATGACAGGTCAGAGAACAACTTTAATGTCCAACACTGTTATTTGCATTCAACAAATTGTTGAAGGGGCCTCACTTCTTGCCAAGACAACGACCTAGCCAAACGACTGTTTCCCAACCATCTCAGAAATGTTCAGAATTGTACATACAATGATATTGGTTGTGGTTTATTGGAATTGTGTAAAAATTCAAGATCACAGAAAATATTAATGTCTGGAAAGCTGCATAGAAAATGCGTTTTCACCAAGCCCAACTTCTTTCCTCTTCTTTCTCTCCTTCGTTCCTCCTCTCTCAGCTCCCAGCATGCAGTACAGCAGCAGTCTGTCGTGTCTGACCCCCGAGCTGGCCGAGCTCCTGCTCAGTCACATGTCCCGCGAGAGGCTCCTTCGCCCGCGCACCCTGGAGCTCTTTTTCGGCTGCCCGATGCAGAAGTTTGTCCTCAACTGCTACCCGTACTCCACCAACGAGCTGCTCCGGCAGCTACGGGCCTTCACTGCACTGAAGCACCTGAGCCTGGTCAACTCTCCTCTCATCACAGGTATACCTTTACCTTGACAGCATTGGTACTCACTGAGTATGCGTCCCAAATGGCACCCTATTCCATATAAAATGCACTACTTTTGACCAGAGCCCTATGGCAACACTATTATTAGTGCCATTTGAATGTCAAGTTAAGAAATAAAGTTTTAAAAAAAAGAAAGGAATACAGATGCATTGGTGAGCTATCACTTTAAGCATGTGACCGGTTATCTTTGCAGCATTGTGGCTATGATACTGATGGTTGCTCTCGCTTTGTTTTCCCATTGTCCAGACGCAGGCCTCTCTGTGCTGTGCAGCCTACTGAAACTGCAGCACCTGAACCTGGCCTCATGTAGCAAGCTAACAGACTCCTGTCTGCAGCACATCACAGGTGAGGCTCTTCTCTGGGTTGTATTCACTAGGCACCAAACAAAAGAAAACTGACTGAAACAGGAAGGGTCTATACCTGAACTTGTCCAATAAGAAACGTTTGTTTTGGTTTTCTGTTGCAAAAGATTTTACTATGGTATGCGGTAATACATTCGACCCTGGCTACAGCATGGAACACCTGTGGATGAATTGGGTTTTTAATGCTTGGTAAGCAGTTTGGTAAGCAGTCTTGTGAATATAGGTCAGGAGACCTTGAGAAAGAAAGCGATAACTTTGTAAAGCTGAAATTATGTAAGACCCCCTAATAACCAAGTAGCCTGCTATGACTTCTTGCAAGAACACTAGGTCAAAGCCTTTTAAACTGATTAAAGGTTAAAAAGTATATATATACACTCGGAGCATAATATGGCATGGGTGGCGTTTCAACTTGATAAAAATGATTGAATTCATAATTATGAATAAATGTGTCAACCCTTTCACCAACTTGAAAGGAGGACAAAGATAAAACATAATCTCACTCCGCACCCTTTGTGTCTTAAAGGATTGAAGAGCCTGTCTTTCCTGTCACTGGACCAGACCAAAGTAAGCGATGTAGGGATGGTGCTGTACCTGCAGTCTGCTCCCTCGTCACTCACCCAGCTTAGTCTGAACCAGACCTCTGTCACAGAGTCCACACTGGCAGCGCTGCCCACCTGTGTGCCACAGCTACGACTGCTCAGCATCAAACACACTAAGGTAGCTCTATCACTCTTGCGCATGCACGCACACACAAACACTACAACACACCCAACCACAATATCCTTGCACTGAGCCAGAAGTGCGTAGGGTCTGCTTTGACCCCTGACCACCTCATCCTCCCTCGTATGTCAGGTGAGTGACGTGTCGGCCCTGGCTGAGCTTTCCAGCCTGCAGACCCTCTACCTGGACGGCACAGGGGTGAGAGAGGGCTCTCTGGAGCACCTGGCCACCCACTCCACCCTCTCTGCCCTCAGCCTGGCGGGCATCTCCGTTGCTGACGGCAACAACGTCCTCCAGATCATCTCAGGTGAGCTGCACATGGTATGTGTGTGACTGAGTGTGTGTACAGCAGGAGTATTAGAGAGAGAGGGAGAGAGAGAGAGAGAGACTGAACAGAGAGAGACTGTGAACAGAGAGAGAGAGTGTGAACAGCAGGAGTATTCAAATCAGGGCCTCAATGTCTGCAGTACTGCTGTTTGATTGACTTAATGATTAGAGGGGAAGATTACTGCAGATGTGAATGTTGTGTATGACTCACAGTATATAGTTAAATGTATTTCCTAAAGTACTATATATTTTTTCGCTCGTTCCTCCCAGGTCTCAGGCTGACCCAGCTTACCCTGCCTGGACGCCACTTGGTGACGGACGCTGGCCTGGCCTTCCTCTCCAGACTGTCCCTGCTGTCCGAGCTGGACCTGACTGACTACACATACATCACCGACCAGGGGGTCACCCAGCTGGCCACCATGACCAGGTTAGCTCACTCTCTCATAACATTTTTTATCATCTCCTGGTGTCAATATAGATACGTGTCATGATAGACTGGCACTCAGTGGTCACCAACTTTGGGTCCTTGGGGAGTTATACAGTGATTTCAACTAATAATTTAGGCTAACTGGTTGTGTTAGTGGTGACCTGGAACAAAAATCTGCACACTATTGCTTACAAGGACTAGAATTGGTGATCACTGCTCTAGTTGATTCACCAGCGTCCTCTAGTGTTGACTTTGTGTGAATGAAGAAATGCTGGGCCGTATTCATTAGGGACCAAACAGAAGAAAACGGACTGAAACACAAGAGGGACTACCTGAACTACCTGTCCAATAAGAAATGCCTATTTTTGTTTTCTGTTGCAAAACATTTTGCTACGGTGAGCACTAATAAATACGACCCTGATAGAAATGTCCCTGTCTCCAGGCTGAAGAGGCTGTCTCTCAGTAACACCCAGGTGACGGACGTGGGGCTGCCCTCCCTGCGCAGTCTGCAGGAGCTCCTGGAGCTGTGTCTGGACCGCACGGCCGTCACCAGCCGAGGAGTGGCCGCCCTCGTCACCTGTCTGCCACACCTGCAGGTACGGAGCATGCATGGAAACCCATAGACAACTATTGTGTCAGTGGATAGAACTCTGCAAATAAGTTATAGAGCAGCAATGGCGCTAACAGAGCTCCGTTATAAAACTGTGTTGAAGCCGCATACTATTATTAGCAGTGGTAGCATTGATGTTGTGTCTTTATGTTCCAGGTATTAAGTTTGGCCAGTACTCAGGTGGGCGACACGGTCGTGCGGAGAGGTCTGGTCCACTGTGTTCAGCTGTTCAAGCTCAACCTCAGCCGTACACGCATCACTGACCACGGTAAGATCCCATCATACAGTTGAATAAAGGGCCCAAAATAGTCAACTGGACGGTCATTGCAAAGATAGGATATACAGTGCATTCGGAAAGTATTCAGACCCCTTCACTTTTTACACATTTTGTTACATTTCAGCCTTATTCTAAAATGTAAAAAAAAATATAAAAAAAACATCCCCTCATCAATCTACACACAATACCTCATAATGAAAAAGCAAAAACAGATTTTTAGAAACTTTTGCAAATTTATAACAAATAAAAAACAGATATCACATTTAATTATTCAGACCCTTTACTCTGTACTTTGTTGAAACACCTTTGGCAGCGATTGCAGCCTCAAGTCTTCTTGGGTATGACGCTACACGCTTGGCACACCTGTATTTGGAGAGTTTCTCCCATTCTTCTCTGCAGATCCTCTCCAGCTCTGTCAGATTGGATGGGGAGCGTCGCTGCACAGCTATTTTCAGGTCTCTCCAGAGATGTTAGATCGGGTTCAAGTCCAGGCTCTGGCTGGGCCACTTAAGTACATTCAGAGACTTGTCCCGAAGCCACTCCTGCGTTGTCTTGGCTGTGTGATTAGGGTCGTTGTCCTGTTGGAAGGTGAACCTTCGCCCCAGTCTGAGGTCCTGACCTCTCTGGAGCAGGTTTTCATCAAGGATCTCTCTGTACTTTTGCACCCTTCATCTTGGTCATCCCCAAAGCCAACACCTCCTTTGGCCGCCATTCCTTCCAGTTCTCTGCTGCCAATGACTGGAACTAATTGCAAAAATCTCTGAAGCTGGAGACTCTTATCTCCCTCACTAACTTTAAGCATCAGTTGTCAGAGCACCTTACCGATCACTGCACCTGTACACAGCCCATCTGAAATTAGCCCACCCAACTACCTCATCCCTATATTGTTATTTATTTTGCTCTTTTGCACCCCAGTATCTCTATTTGCACATCATCTCTTGCACATCTATCATTCCAGTGTTAATACTAATTGTAATTATTTTGCACTATAGCCTATTTATTGCCTTACCTCCATAACTTGCTACATTTGCACACACTGTATATATATTTTCTGTTGTATTTTTCGGACTTTGTTTTTTTACCCCATATGTAACTCTGTGTTGTTGTTTTTATCGCACTGCTTTGCTTTATCTTGGCCAGGTCGCAGTTGTAAATGAGAACTTGTTCTCAACTGGCTTACCTGGTTAAATAAAGGTGAAAAAAAAGAAAGAAAAAAAAGAAGAAATCTTTCCCTCGATCCTGACTAGTCTCTCAGTCCCTGCCGCTGAAAAACATCCCCAGAGCATGATGCTGCCACCACCATGCTTCACCGTAGTGATGGTATTGGCCAGGTGATGAGCGCTGCCTGGTTTCCTCCAGACGTGACACTTGGCATTCAGGTCAAAGAGTTAAATCTTGTTTCTCATGGTCCTTTAAGTGCCTTTTGGCAAACTCCAAGCGGGCTGTCATGTGCTTTTTTACTGAGGAGTCGCTTCCGTCTGGCCACTCTACCATAAAGGCCTGATTGATGGAGTGCTGCAGAGATGGTTGTCCTTCTGAAATGTTCTCCCATCTAAACAGAGGAACTCTGCAGCTCTGTCAGAGTGACCATCGGGTTCTTGGTCACCTCCCTGACCAAGGCCCTTCTCCCCCGATTGCTCAGTTTGGCCGGGCGGCCAGCTCGAGGAAGAGTCTTGGTGGTTCTAAACTTCTTCCATTTAAGAATGATGGAGGCCACTGGGTTCTTGGAGACATTCAATGCTGCAGAAATGTTTTGGGACCCTTCCCCAGATTTGTGTCTCGACACAATCCTGTCTCGTAGCTCTATGGACAATTCCTTCGACCTCATGGCTTGGTTTTTGCTCTGACATGCACTGTCAACTATGGGACCTTATATATATATATATATATATATACATACAGGTGTGTGCCTTTCCAAATCATGTCCAATCAATTGAATTTACCACAGGTGGACTCCAATCAAGTTGAAGAAACATCTCAAGGATGATCAATGGAAACAGGATGCACCTGAGCTCAATTTCGAGTCTCATAGCAAAGGGTCTGAATACTTATGTAAATAAGGTATCTGTTTTTTATTTGTAATACATTTGCTAACATTTCTAAAAACCTGTTTTTGTTTTGTCATTATGGGGTATTGTTTGTAGATTGAGGATTTGTATTTATTTAATCCATTTTAGAATAAGGCTGTAACGTAACAAAATGTGGGAAAAGTGAAGGGGTCTGAATACTTTCCAAATGCTGTAAGCTCTCTAATACATATCTATAGGTCCCACTCATTATCCTCCAACACTCACATTGAATCCTAGTATTTAGAGGTGAAAACCTAATATACCTTCTTTTTGTGTCCGTTTCCCTCAGGACTGAAGTTCCTGAAGCGCATGCGTCTGAGCCAGGTGAATCTGGACGGCTCGGGCGTGACCCTGTCAGGCATCTCCAACCTGATCGCCTCCTGTCCCCACATCACCAGCATCCGGGCCAGCAACCCGCGAGCCATCCCCCCTGACCAGGTCTCCGACGACAACGACGGTGACAATCAGTAGAGGGATGAGTAGTGACCCAGCCCTTTCTGATGAGGCTTGGGTCAGCTAGCTAGTAGCTTCCGCTGCGCTCGTGGTATCAGACCCATGTTTATGCATCCAGCTGACAGGCTCAGCATAGTCTGGGTGAAGAGAAACCTAGCTCTAACTGCACTGCTTCAACAGTGGCTAGTGGCACTAATCGCTCAATCACAAGTCCACTGTAATTGCTGTTGAAACCTTAGAAGGGTGCCTTCTTGTGCTTCTAAAACGAGAGCCTCTAAAGGTCTAGATGGGATCCCTGCTCCCTGTAGTTAATCACAACCCCCATTAAAGTTATTACGATGATGTCTCAGATAAGTGTGCTATGTAGATCCCGGTGTAGGGTTTAGTTGTCCCTAAACGCTTATCTTGGGTCAGTTTTGCATTTCCCCCACTAATGGTTCAGTTTATGATTGGGGAAGGGAAAGCTGATCCTAGATCTGTACCTAAGGGAAACTTCACTCCAGAGTGTAGATCCCCCTGGGCCTGGCAGAGGTATAGTATGCATGATAACCAATCTACATAAAGCAAGGGAACTATGATTAGGAATAGATCAGGGATATAACCTTTATATATCAAAGCATGTTTTTTCACCCAGATTTTTTCTGCCTGAATTCTCTAATGAATCAGTTAATGCTACTGAGGTACCATGTGAACTGCTACTAAAGAGGGCTATGATGATGTTCCATGTCCAGCATTTAACTCCAGTTCTACTTACTTCCTGTATTGTCCAAAAACTACATTTTGGGGGTGATTGAAGCCAAGGCAGGTTCTAACATTTCATTAGCCAGCAACTGGAAAGCTAAGCGTTGTTAGTGGTTATGGAGAGGTTGACTTCTCACAGCAAATAGTGGGCCATGATTTGGGTTACATATTGAGTGGTTGGGTTCAACAGCAGGAATCCAAAGCAACTCCATTCATAATGAATATAGTTTTGCTTCTCATGTTATGTTTCACAGATGTAAAATACAGTTTATTTTCACAAAATGTAAATGTTTTGGATAAGTGCACTGTATTCCCTACATTGTCAAAGGAAAATGCAGAATTAAAAGCTGCATTTTGGAATATGTTGTATTTGTTCAAAGACCCCAAAATATGAGACGGTAAGTATTCAATTGTCAATTCAGTCATTTATTCAGACAAACCATTATTGCAATACGTTAAATAAAAATAATACATAATTAATGCTCTTTTGCACAAATGACCTTCAAGCTGCTGCATTCATTTTTGGCTATGTTGTTAAACGTATTTGGAAAAAATAAAACTTTTTCTATGATGATGGCTGCAATATGGAACGCGTTCCATTATGCACTTTGAGATGCTTCAGCCAATCAGAGTGCAGCCTGAGCTGGAGGCGGGTGGGTTTAGGGTGAAGTTGCCCTTAGAGGCTGACTTTGGGTCAGTTTTGCATTTTCCCCACTACTGGTTAGGATTTGGGGAGGGAAGCTGATCCTAGATCTTTACCTAGAAGAAACTTCACCCCGGGGCATTGAGGACTACTATTCCACCACACAAGCACTTAGAGGTTTAGTGACTCAGATTGCAAGGGGCTCTAGATGTCATGCGCTTGCTTGTCAATCTTCGATTTCAAGTGTTCCTTGTATGCCAGGATGTCTCTGTTCCATTTTGTGATGGTTTGCTTCTCACACACCCAGATCTCCTGAGCCACCTGAAAAAATATATAATAATGTTGGCGTCACAGCATTGGCAATGAACAAACCTCAATTGAAAACATGTTCCCTTTCTCTCTAATTCTATCCCTATTGTAATCTCGGAAACCCAGGTGCTCGATTAGGTTTTGGGGGAAGATGTATGAGAAAAGATACTAACGAGACTAGCGAAGTCTCCACCCCCCTAAATGGAATCTCTCAGCCAAAGCATGGGCAAAATGTCTCCTCCCTTTCTGAAATTCAAAAGATGTGCACACCTGCAAAATCGTGATTTGTACAAATGATCACGTCGTCACATCACACAGTCTGTTGACAAATGCTACGATACCATCCTGTGTTACATGCGTCTGTCCACGAGAGATTATCCATGTTGTAACTACCTGGCAGGGTCTAAGTCTGACTTTGTTGCACATTGGGCTATGTGATGTGAGGTATAGATGAGGGACCGGTCAGGGAGGATAGAATGGTGGTACCTGCTGGATGAGTCTGAAGTCGTGGCTGACCAGCATCATGCCGCCCTCGTAGTCGTTGATGGCGTCAGCCAGGGCGTCGATGGTCTCGATGTCCAGGTGATTGGTGGGTTCGTCCAGGAAGAGCATGTGGGGGTTCTGCCAGGCCAGCCAGGCGAAACACACCCGACACTTCTGGCCGTCCGACAGGTTCCTGATCGGACTCACCTACGGGAGAGGACAGAGTAAGGACCATGAACATGAAGGAGTGCAAGTGCTTATGTTAAGTTTTTTATTAATTTTTTATTCCAGGAGGAAGATCAATCAAATTCCACCATCAAGTACCCACCAGTATACACCACAGGTTAACACTACAATGATTGTGGAGGATTAAAAGATGTTTGACAGGAACAGGTATTCCAACAAACATGGGAAAAGTTTAAAGTCACTATTCCTGTACTATCAATGACGATGACAACAATCATGCCAAAGTCACTTCAAACAGCGTTTCTATACCAGGTGAACAATCTGATTGTCAATGCTTCTCCAGTGGATCCTGGGCCCAGACCGAGCTCTGCGGTCTCACCTGTTGTTTTCCTGTGAGGCCGTAGCGGCCGATGATCTTCCTCATCTCCTCCTTCTCCTTGATCTCTGGGTAGCACTTCATCATGTACTCCAGAGGAGACAGGTCCAGCTCCAGCTGCTCTGTCAGATGCTGCAGATAGATGACACCATACAGGTATATTAGATACATTCAGATGCACTTTAACAAGCGGCTGCGGTCAGACAGACGCATGAACGCACTTGAAATGGATCAATTGTCCGTTTTTGGTCCATAAAAAGTTAAAAGTCAAGTATTTTCGAACAAGCTTCGTATGTAAAAAGGCGGACATATTGTGAGATTTTAGAAGGACAATCATCTCTGTTGTCTGTCATCCGACAACGATAACTCCCATTGAAAAACCATTGACTCAATCCCAAATTTTCGGACACAAAATCCCAGCGTGTCGGCACCCTTACATGCTGACTACACCGCCCGCGTTGCGTGCGCGAGCGATGCAAAATAAATGTACACATACATGTTACTCAATCATTTCATCCAAACTGCTCATGCGCGTCAACGAACAAGCATCTGTGTACCCAGGCACTAAAATAGAACTTGGATCTATTTTTGACGCTTGACGCCCTGCAAGTCCCGCCTCTCTCATCTCCTCATTGGTTTTTAGGAGCATATACCCACGTGGGTGATTGAAAGATGAACTGAGGTCCACGCTCCAGTCAAAATTGGTTGCCAACCGCCATGTAAAGTCCATAGAAGAATAAGAAGGCTGAAGGAGGAGAGATTACTAGAAACGAACTAGGTTTCCCCTTTTATCTGTGGATTAATTGTTGGAGAAGAGAACACACGATTTTGTGTGACTCAAAATGGGTCAAAATTATTTGAAGATCCAGAAAAAAAGGACCTTGTGCATTACAGGTAAAATAACCAAATGTTAATATCCCAGGACAAATTAGCTAGCAACAGCAAGCTAGCTAGCTAAATGTCCATGAATGTTTCATGTTAATGTTTTCTGTCCCCAAATTAATATATACTGAACACAAATATAAATGCAAGATTTTACCGAGTTACAGTTCATAGAAGGAAATCAGTCAATTTAAATAAATAAATTAAGCCCTAATCTATGGATTTCACATGATTGGGCAGGGGTGCAGCCATGGGTGGTCTAGGAGGGCATAGGCCCACCCACTGGGGAGCCAGGCCCAGCCAATCAGAATGAGTTTTTCCCCACAAAAGCGCTTTACTACAGACAGAAATACTCCTCAGACGATCCCGCAGGTGAAGACGCCGGATGTGGAGGTCCTGGGCTGGCGTGGTTACATGTGGTCTGCGGTTGTGAGACCGGTTGGACGTACTGCCAAATTCTCTAAAACGACGGAGGCGGCATATGGTAGAGAAATTAACATTAAATTCTCTGGCAACAGCTGTGGTGGACATTCCTGCAGTCTGCATGCCAACTGCACGCTCCCTCAAAACGTCAGACATCTGTGGCGTTGTGTGACAAAACTGCACATTTTAGAGTGGCCTTTTATTGTCCCCAGCACAAGGTGCACCTGTGTAATGATCATGGTGTTTAATCAGCTTCTTGATAATCCATCGACCTGACAGGTGTGGCATATCTTGGCAAAGGAGAAATGCTCACTAACAGGGATGTAAACACATTTGTGCACAACATTTGAGAGAAATAAGATTTTTGTGCGTATGGAACATTTCTGCTCATGAAAAATGGGACCAACACTTTACATGTTGTGTTTATATTTTTGTTCAGTATAGTTGGTTCAGAGTTTGTTTTGGTCCTGATCGCGTCTGATGTGGATGGACAAAATCAACATGCGCGCGATGGTACACGCGGACGCGCACGCGTGCCCGGTCTAGTCAGCATGTTAGGCTCAGGCAGGTTTATGTCTCTGCAACCGGGCTATGGAGGCTACGGAGAGTTGAAGCATCCATGCATCAAATCGCAGAGTTTATTTATGCCTGTCAATCAAAACCCAGCGACTGGCATGGGATGGCCGTCTTTGGGAACCACCAGGCAATGTGTCATGTTACTACGTATTTTCTCCTACCTGGTGATATCGGCCAATCTTCACGTGAGAATGTTTCCTGATCATGCCGTCAGTGGGGAGGAGCTGAAGAGACAAAGAAAGAGAGGTGTATTACGGTATATGCCATACTTGTGGTCCTCTGTAGCTCAGCTGGTAGAGCATGGCGCTTGTAACGCCCAGGGTAGTGGGTTCGATCCCCGGGACCACCCATACGTAAAAATGTATGCACACATGACTGTAAGTCGCTTTGGATAAAAGCGTCTGCTAAATGGCATATTATTATTATTATTATACTGTCATTACTAGATGTTAAAACAAGACTTAACTGAAATGGCACCACCTACCTCTCCCATAAGGAGTTTGAGGAGTGTAGACTTCCCTGCTCCATTGGGCCCCACCAGAGCCACTCGCGTGTCCAGGTCAATGCCAAACTCCAGGTTCTTGTATATGTGTGGCTGGAGGAGGAATAGGCAGATTAGTGAATGAGGACAGAACATAAGAAATGAGCTCTCAGACTCCAATAAAAACCTGCTCATTGCTACATACTGACCTGGTTGTCACTGTATTTGAAGCTAACATTCTGAACCATGATAACAGGAGGGGGGATCTTTCCACAGGAAGGAAAATAAAATGACAGTGTCTATGAGAGGGAGAGAGAGATATGATTACCACCACTGCAACACTCAAATTAGCCATAGCGTGAATAACCTATTATTTATTTCTAAGAGTATACACTTCTTTGTTCAAGAGTAAACCATGAATGGCTTTAGAAAGATGCAATGGATGTGATTCAGTTCAGTACATAATATATTGCATCCACACAAACCACAAATGTTTCAGTGAGCCTCTTGCCTTGTCATCCAACACACGTTCAGTCAGCCCTGAGGCCACCATCTTCTGCAGCGTCTTCTCTTTGCTCTGGGCCTGTCGTGCCAGCTTGGCCGAGCCATGACCAAACCTGGCAATGTAATTCTACACAGCGGGTAGAGAGATGGTGTTGAGGATAGCACAAACAGACTGGCACTTAGGCTATCATACTTTAACAGTACAGGGGAATAATATTGCCATGTGGGGTAGTAGTACTCTGCACCGCCACAATGTAGCGCCGTCTACCTTCATGTGTGAGATCTGGTCCTGCTCCCAGTTGAAGCGTTTCATCTGGTTCTCTTCTAGCTCCTCCCTGGTCTTCACGTACTGGTCATAGTTACCCTTTGAAAAGTAGAATTTGTATGGTCATCCCACACCATTCGGTGAAGCCAACGGACACACTGTCTCGCATGCATAATTAGAAACAGGCCATAACCCCACGACCCCCTTCTCCTCCCTTATAAGGTGTGATGAGATCACAGTTGGCTGTGTCTGTCCAGGACACTCTAGTGCAGGGTTTCTCAAACTGGTTGGCACCTTAATTGGGGAGGCCGGACTTGTGGTAATGTCTGGAGCGGAATAGGTGGAATGGTATCAAAAACCTGGAAACCATGTGTTTGATGTATTTGTTACCATTCCATTTGCGCCGTTCCAGCCATTATTATGAGCCGTCCTCCCCTCAGGGCCTCCACTGGTCCTGGGGCCCCCCCCGGGTGCACGTTTTGGTTTTTGCCCTAGCACTACACAGTTGATTAAAATAATCAAAGCTTGATTATGAGTCGGTTATTTGAATCAGCTGTGTAGTGCTAGGACAAAAAACTAAACTTGCACCCAGGGGGGGGCCGCAGGACGGGGTTTGAGAAACCCTGCTCTACTGCACAATATACATGGTTGCCTTCTAAGGGGTGACTCAATAGCCTGATGGAACAAGCATGATCGCTGCATTCACCATTCTTTTTCACTTCAATGTATGTGTATCTGTCGCCAGGTGTAACATGTTTATGTATTTTAAATTGCCAAATAAAATCTATCAACTAATCAATCAACTAAAACAATGGTGAAAGGAGCAAACCGGCTGGTTCCACCAAGCTAGTGACTGATTGCCCTTAGATAAACTGCTAAATAATAGTGTGGCAAAAGTGAATTGATCACGTCTGTTGAACAGGGGGTGAGTGAGCTCGCTGCTGTGTTCTTACCGTGTAGTACTTGAGCTTCTTCTGGTGCAGGTGGATGATGTTGGTGCAAACTCCGTTCAGGAAGTCTTGAGAGTGAGAGATGAGCACAAGGATTCGCTTGAACCTGACAAGGGATCGGGACATTCAGCACATCTCAAATGCACATGACTACTAAACTGATTGACATTGATAGATGAAGAGGCACACTCACGATGCGAGCTCCTCCTCCAGCCATACACAGGCATCCAGGTCAAGGTGATTGGTGGGCTCGTCCAGCAGCAACATGAAGGGCTTGATGAACAGAGCTCTAGGAGGATGAAGAGTGAAAAGAAAACCATTTGTTACAGACATATTCTACTCATATTATTGCAATGTAAAGGTAATCTGAGATCTGACTGGGTAATAAACTGATAACTAGGTCATCATGTCCAGGCATCTGCAACCAGTAATGAAACCCGTCTACTATGTTCAATAACAATCTGACACTGGTTCCTAACACTTGCATTGACTCTGAAACAAACACTTTATTTTTGGTGTGTTGGCTCTATCTCAGTAATAAATTGGGTAACGATGGCAGTATCCTCACAGCGTTCAGTAGAGGGAGCCAGAATATCATCACCGACAAAACCAACACTGTCAACTGGTTAGGGGATGTTGAGAAGGCGTAGCAACCAACTCAACTTGCAGTACAGTGCATTCATCTTAAAGCATCACGTTAGATTTCCCACCTAGCCAGAGCCACACGCATCCTCCAGCCTCCGCTGAAGTCCTTGAGCTTCTTCTGCTGCATGGCGGCGCTGAAGCCTAGGCCGTGGAGGATCCTGGAGGCCCGCACCTCCGCCTTGTCTGCATCCAGCTCTTCCAGGCGCTCGTACAGCTCCATCAGCTTCTCACACTCAGCTACAGAGGGATGATGGGGGAAACTGTTTCAGCTACATTGTATATGTGGTCCTCTGTAGCTCATTTGGTAGAGCATGGCGCTTGTAACGCCAGGGTAGTGGGCTTCGATCCCCGGGACCACCCATTCGTAAAAATGTATGCGCACATGACTAAGTCGCTTTGGATAAAAGCGTCTGCTAAATGGCATATTATATTATATTATATATGAATAGATAACTATTGTGCAGCTGGTTGTTTCCGGGAGAATACAACTAGGTGGTTTCAAACCATGCCCCAGTTACCTTTCATAAATTAAATGAAACTATAAGGTGGTGGTGCTTTGTCAAATAGATACAGTATGTGTTTCACTCACAGTCCTCGGCTGCCAGCCGCTCTGCCTCCTTCTCCAGCTGGATCCTCTCCTCGTCCACCTCCATCACACACTGCAGGGCCGTCTTGTCACTAGGGGCCATCTCCCTGGTCAGGTGGTAGATGTCTATGTGCTCGGGGATGGGGATCTCGCGGTGGCCGATGGCTGATAACAACATGGACTTTCCTGCCAAAGGGAAACGCCATACGTTAGCAGCGGCTCTCAAATACAATGCACACATCCACATTATCCACATTTAAGATCTATTACGATGCAATGGTAACATGCAAATGGTGATCAAATGACACTTAATAAAAACAGAGAGAAATGTGTCAGTGAGTGTCAGGTCACACTAAAGAAAATAAGACAGTGGAAAAAACACTATCACACACAGATGATGGCCTAACTCTTGTTGCCTCTAAATAAAAAATACTTAGAAAATATATTTTGTTTGAGTGCAGACCCTCTACAAATGAGAAATGGGTCAGTGAAAATCATTGAGGTTGTGGCCCCTGGCGTAGGGCCACGCCCCTATGTGACGACTTATGGTGGTACTACCTACCTGTGCCGTTGAGGCCGAGGAGGCCGTAGCGCCGTCCCGAGTTGAGCTCTAGGCTGGTGTCGGTCAGCAGCTCCTGACCGTGGAAGGTGAGCGACAGGCTGGCAATGTGCACGTCGGTGCTGTTGGGGTGGGACGCCAGCACCCCCGTCACCGCCCGTGCATCCAGCTTCTTCAGCTCAAACTCATCCAGCTCCTTGGTCAGGCTAGCCACCCCTGTCAATCACAATAGTCTGGTTGACTATATTAAGCCCAAGTAGAGTGTTAGCGTGCGGGTTAAAGCTGTCAGACACCGTGGTTAATGGAAGCCATTGGAATAGTGCTGAAAGATACTTTCCCTGCTGGGAATATGTCACAAGTTTAGAATAACTTCTATTCAACCAACCAGTGGACATAATAATCCAATACTGATTATTGATAACTTCAGTGCATTTTCACTCCTCTCACCATTGATGTCTGCTCCATTCTCCTGGCTCTCTGGCTGGTCGTTCTCCCCATTAAACTCATCCGTTTTCTTGGTACGCGCCTGGCGGGCCTTCGCAGCTTCCTTCTTCTTCGCTGCCTTCTTCTTTGCAAGATCTGACGGCATTGCTCGTCCTGAACCCCGGACACCAGCATCCAAAACAAGAAGAGAGCAACAAAAATGGACTGCCGAGTACTTAGCTGTGGACACTAGTGAATGACAAGAAAAATAGCAGCAATGTGTTGACATGACCTTGAAATTAGAATTCCTTTAGCTAGATTTAGAAGGAGACATGGACCAGAGCATTCTATTTACAGGACCATTGTGCAGAAGAGGCATGCACTGCCGCTTGAATTATGCCTTGTTTACATTGTGACACTATTTCATTCACTTTCACATTAACCATAACCACTCCGTTTGAATTTATCCAAACTCTGCGTCTTCTTCAGTCCGGCCAGAGTACGTTGAAGAAGAGGATGTTACCAAACCACTGAAGAAGATGAAAATATGTGGTTTTCGAAGATGGGTTTATGGAATAGCTAGCAACTTGTAAACAATTACCCATTCCTATAAGTGAGTGTATGTTAATACACATTGGCTGCTAAGCCAATTATACTTGACTGTTGCCTACCGTTTTAGTTTATTGTGATGGTAATGGCGTTCGTTTTAATTATAATTATTTGGTGGAGGTCACTAGCTACAGTATAGCCTAGCTCTTAGCTAGCTAGCTGCTCTGTAAACTAGATCGACTTGCTAGAAAGTTATAGAAACAAGTTGCGGAAAAATTAACTAAACAATAGGTTTCTCCTGTCTTGAATGAAAAGGTCATATTTTACAATCTCCCAAAATAAATGCAATCCCTGATCAGAGACAAGGCTCTCCTCCATCTTGTCTTGTGAAACCTTCCCTATGCTCACCCTCCACGTTGCAGTAGCTGACTAAACTCAACTCCAGGATTTACGATGGAGTTGAGAAGCGACTAGTGTGGGCGGACTGGAGCTCTGACGTCACATAAAATGTTTTTTTATTTTTTTTAACTACTGATTTCAGCACCCAAAGAATAGCCCGCAAGTACGGTCGTCACTAGTTACCACAGCCACAAAGTCATAATTATGGCTAAACCCCGCCTATTTCTAAAATGTATATTCTTGAATCTGATTCTAACCACACTGCTAACCTTTTATTAATAATACCAAAAAGCTAGTTTTCATGATTTTTTACAATATAGTTACATTTGACTTTGTGGCTGTGGTAACTAGTGACAAGTCGCAATTACAAAAAACGATGGCATTTTAAGTGACGTGGAGCTTCAGTCCGCCCACTAGTCGCTGTACAACTCCATCGTAAATCGTGGAGTTGAGTTTAATCCGCTATGTCGCAGTTGACGTCAAAAAACGCACTGAGGTTGGCACGGCCTAGCCCGGTTGCATTAGCGCAGCAAGCTATAAGGTTGCTTATGACGTGGTAGCTGGCGAATCTAGCTAACTAATCGGCTACGGTGAATATCAGACAAATGAAACTTTATGTGAAATTGCAATCAAAAGTTAGCATATCTAGCTAGCTCGCTCCTGACTGAGAGAGTCGCGCTAGCAGCAACGTGGTTAGCTGGCTAGGCTAGCTCGCGTTGTGCAACTCAACTTTCTATTTTTCGCGCCAACTCCATTTCAGAAAAATAGCTAAAAATGCTAAGCGGGTCAGGACAATATATTTTAATGAGTCCATCGCTTATTCTTCGGTGTATGGCTTTCTTACCTTGGTGACAGTCACACTACTTTCGGGCCGGCTTGCTGTCACTGAACTACTAACGACTATTCTGCTAGCAACACTAACGATGACGTCACTTTCTATGTTAATGAGGAAACCTTCCAAATAAAAGTCCGCATTTCAAAACATCTGAAGTTGACCAATTTATCAAAATATAGTATATTTTGATCATTGTCGATTTTTTATTGTGCTTGTAAGCAAATACAACAAGGAATTTATGGGGAAAAAATGTAATATGTTCTTTAACATTATTTTAAACATTATTTTAAGACCACTATTGAAAAATACAATGTTCAGACTGGTTGTTGACAATATTGTGAATAAAAACTATTCTTTGCGCCTATGTAAAAGTAGGGTTGGGAGTACTAAGTAGGGTCTGTATAATCTATATATGGTGTTATTTCATGGGGCACTGAATAATACGGAGTGTTGCTGGCCTTTTACTACACCCATTCCATAGGCCACAATGCAAATCACTGTACATTATGAACTAGGTTTGAATCACATACCCCGCCTTTCCTTCTAGCGAGGCTAGAGCTGACCCTGCCTCAATTGGGAACTTACTATGTAATTAGCTACAAACTTATGTAATTGCAGTAAAGTAAAGCATTCTAAATTGTGAACTCAACATTATGTACGCCCTGTCATTATAGCTGATAACAGATGTTCTGTGGCTAAGATTTATACTACTGACTGTCATTAAAGTTATCAATTTAGAGTTGAGTCACATAAAAGCTCACTGGTATGCGCTGGGGAAGCGCAGTGGAGCGCACTGAATCACATCATCATCAGATGAATGCAGAATGAGAAGCAAGATTTGCAGATAAGACCAAATGGCATATTCCAGTGCAGCGCACGCTTTCCAGAAAGTTTCTCTCGGACCAGTAGTTATTTTTATGAATTCATGAAGATCTGACAGAGATGCTTTTCAGTCTTGGAGGCGGTGAATTACTCACTTTGAGGAAGTTGCTCATGTTAGAGGAAAAAAGGTCGCCATGGTAAGCTACCTGGCTAATGTAGCTAGCCATCATTTGAAGAAAAGACATTATGTGTTTCTGTGCATAACTCTGACAGTGAATGTGATTGATCTCCGACAACCTACAGACAAAACATCGATAATTGCGACTGAATCAACTAAAATTGAGAGGAGAACGAAGGAGGGAGGACCAACACCGTTAGCTGATACCGATGCTTGGATGTTGGATGTTGTTTTGTCAGGGTATCTAAAATATGAATTCAACGTTGTAAATCCCTGGTTTGTTTTGAACTAGCTAGATAACGACAATAGTTTAATTGTATGTAACTAATTAGTACATTATTAGCCAGTCTATTAGCTAACTAAGAAAGTAATAGCAAGCCAATTGCAATTTGTTATTGCAGCTGGCTAGCTAACATGTTAGCCTGCTAGCTAACTAACTAGCTAGATCGTTTATTATGGGACAGCAGCCTATTGTTAGTACAGTAGGTATTGACTGCTGAAGAGTGGCAGTCAATAAAGCTGTCTGTCCACTGTCCAGTTATTCTCTAGTAAATGGCACTGATAAGGATGTAGTGAGCCATCTAATCCATGGTACAATAGTCACCAATAAAAACACAGCCAGGATTGTGCCAAAGTATATCATACTTTACTGAATCTAGCTTGAAAGTTGAAAGTGGTTGACACTTCACCAGAAGGGTCATTACATGGTTTTGGAACAGCATTCTGCAAATAATTATATAGAAAACCTCAGAGGAACGTAACATAACACTTTATTGACAACACCCAAGTCCACCGCTTCGCTATGCGTCTCTCCTCCTTCCTGGCCGTGTTCAGGCCTGCTCTTCCCCTTATCCTGGGGCTCTCTTTAGGATGCAGCCTGAGCCTGCTGATGGTCTCCTGGACCCAGGGAGACACAGAGGACTCGTGTCGAGGTGAACTGGGCAATGGGGGTCTCTTCATGGGCAGCAATAGGGGAGACCCACCAGGGGACCATAAAGGTGGTCCTGGGAATGAGGACTTCCAGCCACGCATCATACCATACCACAAGGACCCCAACAAACCACACAAGAAGGTCCTCAGGTGAGCATTTTGGGATGGATGCACAGAGGAATACTACATCCTATCCTAACATTAGATTTCAGAGACAGTTTGCAAATGGAAGACACTGCATCAATGTGTCTCAAAAATATATGCAGAGCTGTGAGCTGTCGGATCTCTTTTATGAAATGCTCTTTTATAACTGTGTTCAGAAAATATGCACCCCAGTGTGAGGCATATGGGTTGTATTTTCTGCTAACTAACGCTTATGCAACCCACCCACATTGCCAAATTCTTCATTGATATGTGAATGAGGCAAATCATGACGCTCGTTGCAGATGCATCACACTTTGTTCCAAAATGAAGGCATTTGTAGGTCACTGTCTGTTTGATTCCCAGGGATTTTTGTTGTTTGTTCACCTGTTTAATAGGCTTAAGCTTTTATCCCTTCATACTGGGTCTAAACCACTCTAGGGTGGATGCGCAGTAGAATATGTAGGCCCTACACTTTTAGGGAACAGAGAACACAATTTCTTAGGCTATACAAATGTAGGCTATATGAAAACGGTCCCCCCAAAAAGGGAAAGACATGGTCAATGCTATTAGACCACTGCTGACCTTCCACCTCTTTATAAAGATTGGTTCAAAAAGCCCATACGGTTTGATAATCCTACTGTCTCGCTTCTCTCCGAATCACCTCTTAAAGCTGATTATTGGCCGGGAATGGGATATACTGTAATTAAACAGTTAACCAAGTGTGTCTGAAGAGCCCACCATTTTAATGATCTTAGAATGTTTTCAAAGTACAGTCATGGGACAGAATGACTCAGAATGATCCATTTCATTGAAGTGTCTTTTATGAAAGGCCTAAACCTATCTGAAGAATTGTGATGCCTATTGAATATGACTATGATCTCCTTTGGTCATAGCCTAAATCCTTACTTCTTGCAGATGGTGAGAGTTAAGTCTAGACTGTAGAGTTCAATAATGAACCCAATGACATCCTCTTCCAGTACCTAGCCATCTGGACAAGAATGGGCACTAGGCGCATTCAAGACTTATATTTACCATGACATTTTTGTTTTTATCCAATTTGACATATAACAAGTACATTTTTTGCAGAAATAATATCATTTTAGTAACAACTTTGTATAAGCATATTATTGTTACATAGTACATTAGACAAGTAATTGCATAGTAATGGAGTTGAGCGTAAAAAAAAAAAATACTCAGTAAGATATGGCTGTTCCTTTTACATCGCTCAGCTCTGCTCAGTATTGAGTGAGTTTGATTTGAAACAGGGAAGGTCCCTCTGAACACCGCTCTCCTCTGATCAGGACGCGCTACATCCACACTGAGCTGGGCATCCGAGAGCGCCTCCTGGTGGGTGTGCTGACCTCGCGGGCCACCCTCAACACGCTGGCAGTGGCGGTGAACCGCACCGTGGCCCACCACTTCCACCGCACCTTCTTCTTCACGGGCCTGCGCAGCCCCAAGGTCCCCCACGGCATGGCGGTGGTGGCCCACGGCGACGACCGGCCTGTGTGGCTGATGTACGAGACGGTGCGCCACTTGCACCAGCACTACGGCTTGGACTACGACTGGTTCTTCCTGACCCAGGACGACACCTACATGCAGGCCGAGAGGCTAGCCGAGTTGGTGGGCCACCTCAGCGCTGGTCAGGACCTCTACATGGGCCGGGCCGAGGAGTTCATCGGTGGGGAGGAGAGGGCCAGGTACTGCCACGGGGGTTATGGTTACCTGCTCTCCCGGAGCCTGCTGGCCCGCCTGCAGCCCCACCTGGACACCTGCCGCAATGACATCCTCAGCGTCAGGCCTGACGAGTGGCTGGGCCGCTGCATCATCGACTACCTGGGTCTCAGCTGTGTGGAGGTGCACCAGGTAAACTCACAGCTGAGACATCGTTATAAAACATGTTTATAGAGTTGTTCAATAGAGTTTGCAATGATAAGCTGTCTATTTTATCAATGAGTCCAACGCTGATATGTCATCATGATTTACAGTACTTTGACTACACCCGTCAGTTGTCTCACCTGCGAGATGGCTAACATTTCCCTCCCCACTGTTTGCATGTGACCTACAGGAGATGACGTATCGCTACTTTGAGCTGGGGAAGAATGCAGACCCAGAGCGAGAGGACAGAGCCCAGTTTAAGAATGCCTTCACGGTTCACCCCGTGTCAGAACCCAGCCTCATGTACCGCCTGCACAAACGCTTTAGCCAGATCGAACTGGACTGGACCTACCTACAGATACAGCAGCTGCAGGTTGGTGTTGTGTAATGGGATTAGATATGCCCTCTCTATGCTTCGGGCTATTTGATGAGTTATCACTGGTGTTGGTTTGACTGTTTACAGGTCCAGTGTGCAAATGTTAAATATTTCTACATAACACACCAATTTCTACAAATCTACGCCTGGGCAGAAATTCCTATCTGATCCAATATGTCAGGGAGCCAGACAGTGACTGAACATTTTGTCAGGACATGATGTGATGTGTGAAATTCGTCATTTTGTGAACAATCTGTCAGTTTAAAAGTGTCAACATTGTAATTCAATTCAATAAAACTTTATCCCCTCAAGGGCAATTAAGAAAAGTATGTCAGTTTTACAAGTATCAAGTCACACAAAGTCCTCCACAGAAAATGGCCTACAATATACAACAGACTTCACATGATTCCCTAATACCATACACCCCAAACAATACATAAATACAAAATATAATAAGCGTATTACACTCAGTGTACAAAACATTAGGATCACCTTCCTAATATTCAGTTTCACACCCCCACCCCCCCTTTTGCCCTCAGAACAGCCTCAATTCGTCGGGGCATGGACTCTACAAGGTTTCGAAAGCGTTCCACAGGGATGCTGGCCCATGTTGACTCCAATGCTTCCTACAGTTGTGTCAAGTTGGCTGGATGTTCTTTGGGTGGTGGACCATTCTTGACACACACGGGAGCGTGAAAAACCCAGCAGCGTTGCAATTCATGACACACTCAAACCTGTGTGCCTGGCACCTACTACCATACCCCGTTCAAAGGCACTTAAATCTTTTGTCTTGCCCATTCACACAATGAATGGCACACATACACAATCCTTGTCTCAATTGTCTCAAGGCTTAAAAATCCTTCTTTAACCTGTCTCCTACCCTTCATCTACATTGATTGAAGTGGATTTAACAAGGGACATCAATAAGGGATCATAGCTTTCACCTGGATTCACCTTGTCAGTCTGTCATGGAAATACTTTTGTACAATATTGCTAATAATAACCTTATAATACGCTTTGAGAGACGCTGACCAAGGAGCAAGTCAAACCATTAAAGTTGAGCCTTAAAATAATGACCCTTAACATTGTTCATGAATATCCTAATACTGAAGAAAAAAATATTTTAATAGATGCTTATGGTACATGTAAACACTGAAAAGTTGTCTCATCATGGTTGTGTCTTCTGTCTTTTGTCCAGGTCCAGATCAACAACCTGAGTGAGCTGACCCCAGAGGGGAAGGCGGGGGCCACCTGGCCCATCGGCGTCAACCCCCCCTTCAGGCCCAAAACACGATTCGAGGTCATCAACTGGGAGTACTTCACCGAGGAGCACATTTACTCGTGCCCAGACAGCTCCCCCAAGTGTGAGCTACGTGGCGCCGACCGGGCTGACGTGAGCGCCGTGCTGGAGACGGCCGTGGAGCGCCTCAACGAGCTCTACCAGCCCCAGCTGCGCTTCAGGAAACGGCATCTGCTCAATGGCTACCGGCGCTTCGACCCCACGCGAGGCATGGAGTACGTGCTGGACCTGGCCCTGGAGGCTTTCACCCAGAAGGGTCACAGCCAGGTCATCGCCAAGCGGGTCAGCCTGCTCCGCCCTCTCAGCACCATCGAGATCATCCCCATGCCCTACGTGACGGAAGCCACCCGGGTGCAGGTCATCCTGCCAGTCACGGCCCGCGAGCAGGACTATGTGAGCAACTTCCTGGACATGTACGTGATGAACACTCTGGACACGCATGACAACGTCCTGCTCACCTTCCTGTTCGTCTACGACCCCTTCGACGCCCAGCGGATCAGTCAGGCTGACGTGTTCGCCGGCATCAAGGCCATGATTGGCGAGGTGGAGAAGCGTTATAGCGACGTGAAGATCCCCTGGATCAGCGTGAAGACGGAGGTGCCGTCACAGGTCAAGCTGATGGACATCATCTCCAAGAAGCACCCGGTGGATACGCTCTTCTTCCTGGCCTCGGTGTGGACCGAGGTCAACGCCGACTTCCTCAACCGCTGCCGCATGAATGCCATCAGCAACTGGCAGGTGTTCTTCCCCGTCCACTTCCAGGAATTCAGCCCGGCAATTGTGTACCGCGACCAGCAGCCCTCAGCTGCCTCCTCCTTCACTGCCGAGGCGCTGCGCGATGGACGCTTCGACCGCCACGTCTTCGAGGAGGCCTGCTTCTACAACGCCGACTACATGGCTGCGCGCACCAAGATGGCCGCCGACATCCTGGACAACGATGAGCTGCTGGAGAGCATGGACGTGTACGAGATCTTTGTGCGCTACTCGGGCTTGCACGTGTTCCGGGCGGTGGAGCCGGCGCTGGTGCAGAAGTATGTGCGGCGGGCGTGCAACCCGCGCTTCAGCGAGGACATCTACCACCGCTGTGTGCTCAGTAACCTGGAGGGCTTGGCCTCGCGATCCCACCTGGCCATGGCCCTGTTTGAGCAGGAGCAGGCCAACAGCACCTAGAGGGTCTAGTTGGGCTCTTCCACTGCAGCACTGGTGTCACTCCAGACTTTTCTGGACCAGGCCTCAGAAGGCAACATCTTTGGGCCAAACACTGGTGCAGAGCCTGACAGTGGAAATGCACCATACTGTAGGTCTACCATCTAGAATGACATGGTGCCTTTGGCCTTTATGAACCTCAACCACACTGCCTAGACTTTTGGAGTAGGCATATTATGGGATGCTTAATCTTTAAACAGATCCCTAAGGACCAAGGAATAAGGACCCATGTGCAATCTTAGGCCTGCGAAGACTGAGGAACAATGTTACAACATGTATTCCTGCAAACTGTGTGTGCAGGCTGCCAGAACTCTGTGCTTTCACACAAATGGTAGGCCAAGGGGAGGCTCTATTCGGAGGTGATGAATGAACAATGAGCAACATTGATGTCTGATTAGGGCTGGGTGGTATACCGTATTTTACTATGTACCTGTACTGATGCTAGGACCAGTTAGTTTTTTTACTTTATCTTCAATAACGGTATTTCAATGTTTGGTTTGTTAAATGTGATACGCCACTCCGGCTCGTGTAATGTCAGTTTTTATAGTTTACTCCGTTTGCTACTTGAGCTGTCTCTTTCCTCCTGCATGCCACTTCCCCATGCGCTTCCCACGCCAAGCCCTGCCCCCTTTCACTGTTGGTTGTCAATGTGGTGCCGTTCACTCTGTCTGCATGGTCAGATGCAACAAGATGTTGGTGAAAATTATACTGATTTCCATTTTGCTTCTTAATATAAATCCACAACAGTTCTATAATGACATTAGTTTATGTATATTACAGTCCGCAAACCAGTAATTTGTAGTTTCTTAGCAAGTTGTGGCTAAAATAAATTGTGTTTGGGCTAATAGCTAGTTAGCTGACTAGCAAGCTAGCTAAATGTACTCAGAGAAAACGTAGCTAGCTAATACAGCCTGATACCAGTGCTGGTGTAGGCCTAGATCAGTATGTTGTTTGTGCAAAAGTATCTTCTAAATCAGAGCTGAATAGGCGACGCATGAATATGTTAGCTAGTGCTAGCTAGCTACATGACGTAAGAGGAAATATGTAGTGTAACATTAGGGTCCCCTGGGAAACACTGACCAACACTTTGGTTCCTACCCTGTCACAATAATTCCTCCCTGGCTTTTTCATTCATTGTCATGTCAAACAACAATATATTCAAAGTACTGCCCACTATATTCCCGTGTAGCTCAGTTGGTAGAGCATGGCACTTGCGCTTGCAACGCCAGGGTTGTGGGTTCGATTCCCACGGGGGGCCAGTATGAAAAAAAGAAATGTATGCACTCTGGATAAGAGCGTCTACTAAAAATGTAAAAATGTAAAAGAAATCTTTATTAATCATAATAATATATATAATCATTCTATTTCCATGATTCCAACAGTTCACCAATTAATTAGGCCTATATTGTTTTCCCGTATCATGCAGCGCTACGTGGCACAGTGTGGAAATGATAACAAATTAGTGCAGGAAATGCAGAAATATCGTGATATTATATTTTGGCCATATCGCCCAGTCCTATGTCTGATGTTTTGTTTTACCTTGAGAAAACCATCATGAGCTATATATCTTCCTTCATGACTGTGCTGATTTATGATGCTAATACTGGAATTAAAGAGAATTAAGTGTCTTATGTGTCTTTCAATTGGCTCAGTATGTCGAACCTGTAGAGAGTGTGGTTTGTTTCATTCCCTCGACATATATGGTCTGTTTTATAAACATTTCTACAGTTATTAAAGGCATTCTGACGCTTTTCTTATGTTATTGTGGAATCCCAGACCTAGCTATTTCCTTTGCTATCTATCTTTTGTGCAGTTCAAGGTTAGTTTGAAACACAGCTTCATTACCGTGGGGTCTCAATTAGGGAAGACAAAATAAAACGACTTGTCTTTGAGAACTACAGCCTCAACAACGACAGATGAGTGATGCATACTTTGCAAGTCAGGACTGAGGGTTTGCGAGCCAAGGACAAGCTATTAGGGGTGTAGATTGTAGTGGTTGATATTCCTCCAATCATATAGCTCTGAACTCTGTATTCTTCCTGGTTGCCTCTAGAGCTGCGCCCTGAAGCAATGTACAGGTTTGTACTGAAGCCTGATATCTGCCTCCTCACATTAAAGTCAGTAACCCTCCACCCCTACCCGGGCCTCCCTGGATTGTGGATGGAATTCTCTACACATGTGTCTTAGGGAAGGGAGTGCAGATTCAGAATGCCCTAGCAGGGTGGGTTTTGTCCACCTGGCCACAGTCCAACAGGGAGAGGGAGGGGGGAGCTGTTTCTCCATAGTGTGGCGGGTGGAGGGGGGTTCAGAGCACTGAATAGGTCACTTGACAGCCTCTCTGTTTCCTCCCTCTCTGGGCAGGGGGCGAGAGGATTGCACTGAGGGGTGAAACCGCCCCCTGTGCAATGGATGTCAGGCCAGGGTTTGGCAGAGGGGAGGGGGGGGGTGAAAGAGTTTCTTTCTGTGGTAGCTAGCTAGTGCTGAGGTTGTAGGTTAGCATTACTGCATGCACTCCACCTGTTTAGACACGGTCAACAATAACTCACTTGTCTGCCATCTCAAAACGACGTCTTGCTCATGCTAGGACTGCTAGAAGTATTACTCCCTTCTGATTTTTATCGGACAGCTTATTGCCAAAAATTCAAATGATCTACCTCTCACCAAAGCCAAATACTATTTGGCCCAGTACTACAGTGAGGGAAAAAAGTATTTGATCCCCTGCTGATTTTGTACGTTTGCCCACTGACAAAGAAATGATCAGTCTATAATTTTAATGGTAGGTTTATTTGAACAGTGAGAGACAGAATAACAACAAAAAAATCCAGAAAAACGCATGTCAAAAATGTTATAAATTGATTTGCATTTTAATGAGGGAAATAAGTATTTGACCCCCTCTCAATCAGAAAGATTTCTGGTTCCCAGGTGTCTTTTATACAGGGAACGAGCTGAGATTAGGAGCACACTCTTAAAGGGAGTGCTCCTAATCTCAGCTTGTTACCTGTATAAAAGACACCTGTCCACAGAAGCAATCAATCAATCAGATTCCAAACTCTCCACCATGGCCAAGACCAAATTGCTCTCCAAGGATGTCAGGGACAAGATTGTAGACCTACACAAGGCTGGAATGGGCTACAAGACCATCGGCAAGCAGCTTGGTGAGAAGGTGACAACAGTTGGTGCGATTATTCGCAAATGGAAGAAACACAAAGTAACTGTCAATCTCCCTCGGCCTGGGGCTCCATGCAAGATCTCACCTCGTGGAGTTGCAATGATCATGAGACCGGTGAGGAATCAGTCCAGAACTACACGGGAGGATCTTGTCAATGATCTCAAGGCAGCTGGGACCATAGTCACCAAGAAAACAATTAGTAACACACTAAGCCGTGAAGGACTGAAATCCTGCAGCGCCCGCAAGGTCCCCCTGCTCAAGAAAGCACATATACAGGGCCGTCTGAAGTTAGCCAATTAACATCTGAATGATTCAGAGGAGAACTGGGTGAAAGTGTTGTGGTCAGATGAGACCAAAATCGAGCTCTTTGCCATCAACTCAACTCGCCGTGTTTGGAGGAGGAGGAATGCCCCCAAGAACACCATCCCCACCGTCAAACATGGAGGTGGAAATATTATTCTTTGGGGGTGTTTTTCTGCTAAGGGGACAGGACAACTTCACCGCATCAAAGGGACGATGGACGGGGCCATATACCGTCAAATCTTGGGTGAGAACCTCCTTCCCTCAGCCAGGGCATTGAAAATGGGTCGTGGATGGGTTTTCCAGCATGACAATGACCCAAAACACACGGCCCTGGCAACAAAGGAGTGGCTCAAGAAGAAGCACATTAAGGTCCTGGAGTGGCCTAGCCAGTCTCCAGACCTTAATCCCATAGAAAATCTGTGGAGGGAGCTGAAGGTTCGAGTTGCCAAACGTCAGCCTCGAAACCTTAATGACTTGGAGAAGATCTGCAAAGAGGAGTGGAACAAAATCCCTCCTGAGATGTGTGCAAACCTAGTGGCCAACTACAAGAAATGTCTGACCTCTGTGATTGCCAACAAGGGTTTTGCCACCAAGTACTAAATCATGTTTTGCAGAGGGGTCAAATACTTATTTCCCTCATTAAAATGCAAATCAATTTATAACATTTTTGATATGCGTTTTTCTGGAATTGTTTTGTTGTTATTCTGTCTCTCACTGTTCAAATAAACCTACCATTGAAATTATAGACTGATCATGTCTTTGTCAGTGGGCAAACATACAAAATCAGCAGGGGATCAAATACTTTTTTCCCTCACTGTATATGAAGGTGTTTTTAGACTAAGCTACACATTGATAGATATAGCCCCCTGGGCAGCTGGATTCCATTTAATTTGAAACCTATGAAATATAGCAAAGTCCACTCTGGTCTTTCCAATTTGATGTTTCTAGGAGATATACTATTTAGACCATCGATCAGCATGAAACATTTGATCTTCGGATAAGTCCCATCCCCCTGATTTAGCAATAAACCACACATTGCAGAGCTGATGGCATTTACAAACTTTGGCAAGCGCTTCTTTATTTATATCCAGGCTGTCTCACAGAGTCACAGCTGTAGTTGTCATTTTTCCATTTTTTTCTTCCTTTTTTTGTAGAATGGGGTAACCCAACACATTTGCACAAGTGAGAGCTATATCTCCATGGTGGTGACCAACAGTCAAAACAGTGTAGTAGAGAAAGAGAGCTGTGAGGAACATGAGCTCTCCTCACAAAGTCATGCAGAGACTGCGGTTACCAGCTATCCATTCAGGTAGACCAATATGAATGCTTTTTGTCAGCGAGAGAGGAGCACACAGTTTAGTTACAGTCTATAGTCAGATGACACAAGGTTTCCATCGTGTCAGACTGAGAGGGTGTCCATGAGTTGTAGTTTCTAGAATGCCCAGAAAGGGGAGCCCTAGAGTCAATAATGCTCCATGACTGCCAACCATACAAGACCAATCTGGGTCAAACACAAGTATTGATTGACACATAATTGAATACAACAACGATTATGCTTCCTTGCTTAGTGCGGTTGAAATACATGTAACCTGTAGTAACAAAAACTCTTATGCAGATAACATCTATGCTGGCTGGGTATAGCACACAGGTTTTTAGCAAATGGTTGAAAAAGGCCCCTTCACAATGGAAATTGTGTAAAATCCATTGCTCTCCAGATCCACTTCCATGCATTAGTGAGAGTATTTACATGTCCTGTTTTAAATGTATAAAACCTGTCCATGCAGCATGCATAGGTCTTTAAGAAATCCAACCTCTTTGTTTATGCTGAGTTAGGTCTCAGCCATGTTGAAGAGAATGTTGACACAAAAGAGATGTCACAAGGACACAATTTTGATGTGACTGAACCTTACAGAAGACAGCAGTGTTGACTTCAAATCAGAAACTGATTTCTGAGAAGGCTTATCCCATCGGACACACACACAAAACTAGAAGGGCCCAGAACTGAGTTGCTGTGGAAGTTAGTTAAAGAGATGGGCGATCCCTGTGGGTGGGGAGACAGGGAGGCATCATCACACCCAGCATTACATTTTGTGGTTCTACCCTATTAAAACTCAACAAGAAGGGCCTAAAATACACCCCCCCCAAGTGTACACAGAGGGACACTAGCGTCCCTGTCCTACAGCTTTAAACATATGGACCCCGATCCTTCCCACCCCATATGTCCCGCCGTTCCCTAAACCAAACACACTGACACAAACAGACAGTCATATGCTGTACAGTTGCTTCTCCCTGAAGAAAAGAAAAACTGATTTACATTCAGATGTTTCCTTTAAAAACGTTGTCATATTCACCCTTGAACAATTTCAACTGGTAACGTAGCTTTATCGGGCCTAGACAAAATCACAGTAATCGTTGTTCATTGTCTATTTTAACCATTCTAATCGAGACCATTGGTGACTCTGTCAAAATGTTCAAGGACAAAATATTGTCAGACAGATCCACTTGGGACAGGTAGTTCACAATAGATGTTAACTAAAAATACAATGAACAAATACCTATTTCCCCATTCATTTCGAATAATAGGATTACTAAAGTTACTGGCCAACATTTGTCAGGCTGCAGTTTCACTGCCCACCCCATGATTCTTTAACATAGAAAATGGTGTTGGCTACTCTCACATCATATTCCAAAATGTGTCCTTCGTTAACATTAAAAACACTGATTTGAGTATTGAGAGGGATCTGTAACTAATACCGTTCCCAAACATGACTTTTGTACAGTTATTATGACAGGACAATGAGCCCCTGAAATACATATCTGTCTAAAATAGCAACACAAACGTTATTCCATCTGCACAGTCATTTACCGTGGTCAAAAAGTGCCGTGAGGGGACAAGTCTGTCTGGGTGCTCTGTGTTACAGAGAGTTAGTCTGTGTAAAAACATGCAGGCTGTACTGACTCTAAGGCGCCATGCTATGGCCGCCAAGTGTTACTACATTACTTTGCCTTGCGCCTACCATTACTTCCTCACCTTAACATCTATCCTCTACAGTCAACAGATATGAGTCTTATTCATCTTGATCCCTTTCACCTTTTAATCTGATGGAATATATTCACTTATACAGAGATCTACTTTTACTGTTACACTGTTTAAGGGAATTACTGTAGAAAGGTGGAAAAAATAAGCTAATCTTCGATTGCATCTTGATTAGTTAATAAGGGGGGAAATCTCATTCATGAAAGCTGCCTTCCTTGAACAAGTTCATTTTTTAAATGACAGACCTCAACATTTGAGCTTCAGAAGGGAAATTAGCCCAAGTCCCGACCCATTACTTCATACTGTAATCTTCATTCTGCTGGTGTAAATTTGGTTCCACACATCAAAACACTCATGCACACTCGGAGCATATTGCTCACATGAACTGTACAGCTAATGATACACTAAAACAATGGGCACAATCCAAACTGTGTGTGAGTCAAGACACTTGAAACATTAGGTTACAAACAACCACTTTGGGCTCATCTGAATAAATCGCAGTGGACCATTATGACCGTTCTTTATGTACAGTACTGCTGGACTCAGCAGAAAAGTCCATCTGGTTGAGATGAGAAGGATCTAAAACACAGTGATCATTCTGCAGGCAGCTGGTACAATGACTTCTAGTCTCTATGGAAAGACAGTGACATGCTAGTAGGTCCTAAGTGGTTGACATTAAAAGCAACCCACTGTGTTAGGGTTCTTTTGAGAAACAAAATGTCCGCCGAGGGCCTGTGTTCACAGGAGTATGGAGAGAGATGTTCGGTCCGTCAGAGCTGAACAGATTGAGGGACGTTTTTTGGACACATGCAATTGGGGGATGGGCCAGAGGTCATAGGTCACTACTACAGCGATTTAAAAAACAGACAAAAAACAAACACAACACACAGAAACACAGGTCTGGGGTCAGATAAAGAGTGCAGAGAGAGAGATGTCTGAGACAGGGCATTTAGGTGTTCCTCACGGCCAAGGCCTGCTCCAACTCCTGTCTCCTCTGCTGGATCTGTGAGAGGGTAGAATGGAGGGGTGTCATCACCATTACCATCACACACACAGAGACCACCTGACATCAATACACCTGAGGTCGATACCCAGTATCAATCAATCTGTAAAAAGGGTAATTTAAATAAAGTTGGATTGCTTGTGTTATACAGTAGTGGTAAGAATAGTGTAACAGAGCAGGCACAGCTTCAAAGCTAAAGATGACTATTCCACGCTGATCTCAATTCCCAGTTTGTGTTCCTACTTGGATGCTGTGTTGTGTGAGTTGTTGAAAGGTTTTAAGGTGCAATGTTTGACGTGTCTCCTCACCTTGCTGTAGAAGTAGCGGCTGACAGCCTCCTGGGACCAGGGCTCGTGGTAAAACTCTGCCCTCCTCTCCTCCTCGGGGTTCCCCACCACATCCGTCATCAGCTGCAGACAATAAGAGAGCATGGTTAGTGATATGTGTGTGTGTGTGTGTGTGTGTGTGTGTGTGTGTGTGTCTGTGTGTGTGTGTGTGTGTGTGTGTCTGTGTGTGTGTGTGGCCCTCACCTTCAGGTCTCTGCTCTGGGACTTGAGCCAGTCCTGGATGTAGCCCTTAGGATCCCTGGAGAAGCTGAGCATAAAGTCCCTCTGGATCTTTAACTGGTTGATGGACTCAATGGTCTCATGGATCTAAAGGGTTCATAATGATCACTGATGTCAGAGGACAGCTTACACAAATCTACTCTACTAAGCATATGAAAATGACTTTCCAATTTCAATACACCAATTGATTTGAGTCACTGCGTTTTCTACGGATTTGTATTCAGATAGTGTAAGAAACGGTGGTGGCAGTGTGAAGAGCAAGGCTTTTCACACAGGAACATGAAGCCACAACACCTTGGTGTCACACACATGGTAAAGATAGATTTACATTGCGGAGATGCGGGAACAACAATCCCGCTTCCGACACCTCAGCTTTTCCCTACACTGCATTGTATACTGGTGAGATTAATGGTTACCCAAGGCGTGCGTAAAAGTGTTAGCAAGTGTTGGGGTCAATTCCATTTAAATTCCACTTAAATTCCAATTCCAAATTTGCCCCATTGAAAAGCATTAAAGAGAATTGGAATTGGAATTTCAGTGTTGAAATGGAATTGACCCCAACCCTGGTGATAGCATGTCAGGCGACAAGATTCTCCGGGAGAATCAGATAGAAATGTATCCAACAGAGTCAGACTGCTCTGAACGGTACTTAGTCGTCCCGCATCTCCGCAATGTAAATCTACCTTAAAAGTCATCTTGGGTAATTGTGATTGGCTATCCTTCCTGTGTGGTTGTCCCACCTTGTTGTCCAGTGAGGCGATCTCCTGCTGGTTGGCAGTGGAGAGCAGGAAGCTGCTCATCTGGCTCTTCAGGGGGTCCTCCACCTCCACGTCGATGTCATAGCACGCTGTCTTCTTCTGGTCGTTAGGGTCCACACTGTAGGTAAACGGGGGGGATGATGGTGAGAAGACTTTGAGGTTGTTGGCAGCATTTCAAATGTAATAAAAATGTATTTAACCAGGTAAGAACAATGAAAAGGTTGGGAGGCGAGAATGCTGGTGGTCTTTCTGTATCTTACCAGTATTCTTGCCTCCCATGCTAGCCTTTTCATTTGTATTGTAATATCTGCCCTTTGGGACGGCATTACCTGTGAAACACTGTACCCACATTCTTATTAATCAGCTGGATTTTTATACTGTATCTTTTTCAACTTTTTTTGTTGAAAGAATTTGTAATTTTTCATGTCGCGTTTTATGACCCGGCATTCACCCTTAAAACCAGGAATTTGCCATGTAGGTATTAAGTGTGAGCTGCTCACCTGATGACGTGGTTGATGACGATGGGGTCAGGGGGCAGGAGTAGGTTGGTGAGACGCTGGGGGATCTCCGAGAACTTGAGCCGCGGGCAGTCAAAGATCTGAGAGGAGACAGTAACATCTCAGAATACAGGCCTAGCACCAGAGATGGGCAAATGTGTGTCCCAAATGGCACCATAGTACCTATTTAGTGCACTACTTTTGACCAGTGCTCCTATGGGGTAGTGCACTATATAGGGAATATGGTGCCATTTGAGACACAGGCAACAACATGGCAACAGCTAACAGGTAATACAGTACCAGAGGAGAACTAGAAGAGTGTAGTCTACCTGCTGAAAGTACTTGTCACAGTTTATGTACTCCTTATCGTGGGAGTCCTGCAGCTTGTTGGTCTTGACATACTGCCACAGGGCCTGGATGATACAGGAGCGGGTCTGGGTGTGGATACCCAGCAGGCGAGCAAGACGAGGGTCCAGCTTAAACTGGGGGGGCTGGGGAGAGGTCAGAGAACACCATCAGTACTAGCCCAGACAGGAACTAGGAACCTCAGACAGGAACTAGGAACCTCAGACAGGAACTAGGAATCCCAGACAGGAACTAGGAACCTCAGACAGGAACTAGGAACCTCAGACAGGAACTAGGAACCTCAGACAGGAACTAGGAACCCCAGACAGGAACTAGGAACCTCAGACAGGAACTAGGAATCCCAGACAGGAACTAGGAACCTCAGACAGGAACTAGGAACCCCAGACAGGAACTAGGAACCTCAGACAGGAACTAGGAACCTCAGACAGGAACTAGGAACCTCAGACAGGAACTAGGAACCTCAGACAGGAACTATTACAACTGCCAGATGACAGCTGCTTTGGGGACACGTTTGACACACTTCTGAATAGCTTTTAGCCTCATGTACTACTGAAACTAGGAAAGCACATGAGTGGACAACAATGTGAATACCCACTGGGCAAAAACTGGTTGAATCAACGTGGTTTCCACGTAATTTCAACCCCAAATTCAATGTGATGATGTTGAATCAACGTGGAAAACTGATTGAATTTGCAAAAAGTCATCAGCATAAGAGATTTTCGTCTTTTTTTCACCCAACTTTTAACCTAAATCCAATGACAGGGTGACATTTTTGGTTGGATTCACGTTAGTTGACAACTCAACCAAATGTAAATCAAAACTAGACATTGAACTGACATCTGTGCCCAGTGGGTAGTGTCTCTATGGCGCCCTCACCTGGTAGTCTAGCATTAGCAGCAGTGTGCAGCGCACGCTCACATCCCCTGGCCTCTTCACCTGGAAGCCGTCAGTCTCCTGGGTGGTGGGAGTGCGGTGCCACTAGCAGGAAACACAGAGACAAAAACTCCACCTTGAACACTACCTACAGGCACCGGCCACGGACTTCCAGAACATTCTGAATGTGTACATACAAACGTGCACACAAAGACGATAAAAGAATACAAAACCAAATGTGTACACTTTCAACGAGCAGCCTTGCTCTCGACCCTTTGTGTTTGTTGTCTTTTGGAAGGCTGAATCGCTGTAAAAGAATAGATCATGCATGGTGTGGTAAGGAACTGAGTGAACTACCAAGACAGCAGAGGGTTGATCATTTGTTTTTGCAGAGTCGCTAACTGATATGTTGGCAATAATGGTCAGATTGAAAATGACAATCTGCAGAGATATTTTGGAACCTAACAAGAGCATGGCTTATCAAGTTGAGACTGTACCCTACCCAAATGAAACCTCTATTTGGCATTACAGTCATTATGTATACATTTTCTCCTCTGTTATCCGGGTCTCAAACCCTCCTTGGTATTTTATCTATGTGGAAATGTTAGTTGAGTCTGCATCTTACCTTCGCTTTACTGGTCAGCAGCTAAAAAGAAAAACACTTAAAGTTCCCTGCGTTTCAGTGCATTGTAGCCACTTAGCATGCAACACTGGGAGGGAACTGGGAATGCTTTTCTACTTCTTTACCCGCTAACTCAATGTAGGGTTTCCACAAAGATGTTTTCATAATTGTGTTGTGGTACTTTAGGGTCGTGAAACATTTTGTTAAATGGACAGATTCATTCCAAGCAAAGCTTTATCTATGTTGTTTATCCTTGCTAAAATCTTCTAAGGTATTCTCTAAGGTGGGAAACCTTGAGAAGTACTCTTACATCTAACACTCAAGGAAGCATTTTGTCAATCCATAACACATACTGCAGTGCTGGGTGAATTTGATTCCAGTGTCAAAAACATGATTTCTCTCCAAACCATGTTTTTACAATTCAAAGGTCACAGAATTGTATGGTTGGAACCCCAGACACCATTCTCTGGTAAAATCTTCATTCTCTGATAAAAGTGGATTCCTCGAGATCCTAAACCCCTTTAATACTAAAATCAGATGTCATAAACTCGCTATATGAGAGTAATAAGGTGAATAGGACTGGCTGTGATTCTACTGCCTCTTAAGTAAAAGATCTGTTCTCGGATGATGGCATCATCCAGCTAACTGAACAACAGTGATGTCAGGTCTTCCAGTAGCCAACAATACCAAAATAGGCTAAATACATGAGAATAGTGTATTTATTTTCTCTGAATCATAACTAAATGCAAACCATCTGGTATCACTAAACCACACATGTAGCCAATGGCCTAATCTTGTACAGCGGGAGTGCAGCAATATTGTGAGCTGCATTGTAACTAAAGATACAATGCCAAGAGTCTTTAGTGGTTAAAGACTACGGTTAACCCCTTGTTTGCCCAAAACCTGCTGAATAGATCTGGATGAGGCTGAATGGCGGGACCATAGAATTAGAATGAATAGAACGGACGTCTCCATTCAGGTTAATTATGCCATAATGGGTGGACTGGGGGCCATTTTGAGGGTCCCCAAAGCAGTAAAGCACAAAGTGACTACAAAAAATACATTTCATTCTCATTCTATTTCTATGGGCGGGACACAGACAGGGTAGAGGAGACGAGGGTGAGACAGAGAGGACAGAGGGTGCAGGCATACGGTCATCGGTCATCAGAGAACATGAACTCACCTCTACCAGGTGGTTGTCAGGACCATACAGGTCTTTGTCTAGCTCGATCACCAGGCTCTTGAAGAATGAGGAGAATTTCCTCTTCAGCTTCCCAGGCTATGAAACAAAGCGAGGTGGTGAGTTAGTTTAACATGGATGGAACATTTGGGCTGATATGAACATTTTAAGAGTGTAACAAGCAAAAACTCTCACATGCACACATGCACACACACACACGGGCAAACATGTCTACATTGTAGATAGGGTTTCCCCCTTTTGTAAACCAGTTTGTTGTAGTCTGACCCTATCTTTTTCCTGGCTACTGAACATCAGTCTCCGGGAGTAATTCCAACTAAACCACTACGAAGTACTGTTCAACACCTGCCTTAGAAAACTTGATATATACTGTTGTCATTGACTATAGCAACATTTCTTGGACACCAAAGTAGTGATATCATTGTATCTACTGTAAGCCCTAGGGGACGACCAAAGACGTAGAAGGAGACCACATACAATGTGAAAACAGGATATTCTCAGGGTCCACTGCCTTAAAAGTTGATTCCAAATATTTGTGGGCTCTAAAACCTTAAATGGTCCAAACCGCTATGAAATGACAACCCTGCCTCGAAACTGATGAGTGCATTTGAGTCGAGCCACCATTTGAAGTCGAGCTAACTCTGCAAAAGCAATCTATGGCCATCTTGCGTTTCCTGCTGCAGGCATAATCTGTGCAAACATTTTGCGAAACATTGATCATTCCTCCGAAGGCCTAACCAAACAAACAACTCTTGTTGCTGACTGAAGTGGGCCGACGGTGGAGTCATGGACATATGTTAGAACTATACCAGACTGCCGTACATGACTGTGGGGCAAACACACCACAAAGCAGCTCCTGGATCAAAGAGCTAGCAATTTTCATACTTGGTTGAAGGATTAAGACATGGCCTCAGTTTTTATTAAGGTATTTCACCGTGGTCAAAAGTAATTTTAACCCACCATGCTGCCACATTCAAATACCAACCACCAGAAAATATGTCCTGAGGAGAAAATGTAACTGACTTAGTGGTAGGGATACAGTTGAAAAATAACCGTTCATAACCACCAACATCCATAGAGGAGACTTTACAATAAGAGAAAATAGGAACTAAACAAAATCAAAGGATATTTTGCTGAATCGAACAAACCAGTAATGATTAATTGATACAGTGGCATTGCATTGTACTACAGGAAGTAGAACACTCACATCATCCAGCAGCTTCCCCTCAACCCGCAGCTCCCATGATGCAATACTGCCGTCCGAGTCGTCAGCGTCAGGCTTGGCAGGGTTGAAGGTGTTGGAGATGTACAGCCTCAGTTTACGCTTTTGCTGTCAACACAAACACAAAGAAGGTCATTTCTCTACACATCAGTCTTGGCACTTTGGTACTAGTATGTACCAGTATCGTAATGATTTATATAAACTGAAGAGTAAAGTATAGTAAACTATACAGTATAGTATAGTGTAGTGCATAGTATAGTGCATAGTATGTATGTAAAGTATAGTATAGCATAGTATATTATACCGTGTTGGGGAAGCTACTCTGAAAATATAGTTTACCAAGCTACCAATTACTTCACACTGGAAGAAGTTAAGCTACACTAAAGCTACCTTTAAGAAAAATATAGTTTACTTAACTAAAGTTACTTTAAAAAGTAGTTTACTACATCCAAACTACTTCATGAAAAATAATCATATGTAAATCTGAAATGGTGGACCATTCTTGATACACAAGGGAAACTGTTGAGCGTGAAAAACCCAGCAGCGTTGCAGTTCTTGACACAAACCGGTGCACCTAGCATCTACTACCATTCCCCGTTCAAAGGCACCCTCTGAATGGCACACATACACAATCCATGTCTCAATTCTTGAACCTGTCTCCTCCCCTTCATCTACACTGGCTGAAGTGGATTTAACAAGTGACATCAATGGAAGGGATCATAGCTTTCACCTGGATTCACCTGGTCAGTCTATGTCATGGAAAGAGCAGGTGTCCTTAATGTTTGTACACACAGTGTAGTATAGTATAGTAGTGAGATACTTTAGGCCTATGATTTGTTACCTTCATGGGTCTCTTCAGGGCTTCCTGGATGTCCACCCGTTTACGCATAATGGTCTGGTCCAGTTTACGTTCAAAGGCCAGCAGGTCCATGTAAGCCTGGGACTCCGGGACCAGCTCCCGGATCTTATCAGAGGGGGGGGAACAAGAACCAATTCTCTCAGTCAGAGTCTCTGACAGCCCACACAGTATACTGTATCATATCCAATGCTATACCTTGCTTTAGAAAAAAAAAATAACTTATATATTTGAGCTTTGGTTTTATTAAGGCACGGTAAGGCATACTGCCATCAAAGCATGTCTGGTGTCTGCACTGCAGCTGTGACTGTATTCTCTAAAGCCATCATTTGCCCCAAAAATATTTTTGTCCTTCTCTAACAGAAGGAGTGACACCTAATGAAGGTGATAGAGCCGGCAGTAGTGCCCATAGGAGCTGTGACTGCCCAGCACCGCTCACTAATTGGTGCACCAATCCAGCTTTTAGTGCTGCTAAGTCCGCATTTGAAATGCAGAGGGTGCAGCAGAGCCAAGACAACCCACCGCCCCTACCCTCCCTGAGGGAGTCGGCACACTGCCAAGGCTGCTTACCAAACTGGGCACAGACTCCCAGATTCTCCCACTGCATTACCCCTCCCTTACTCTTTCTCTCTACCTGTCTCTCCCTTCATTGTTCCCTCGACCATCTCATTCCTTCTCTATCTGCATGTCTGTCTGTCGCCAGGTTGAGGTGTAGTGCAGACAGAATGCATTGACAGACATTCCCTGTCCCTGAGTCATCGTTGTGGCGCCTGAGTCATACAGCTATCTCCATTCCCTGTGTCTGGCTTGTGTTACGATAAGACCCACAGACTACAGAGATGCCTATAGGAGCGACTGAGAGTAGCATGGGGCTCCAGTCCACTGTCACCAACAACAGCCTTTACAAAATCAACGGCCAACCAATGCAACCACAGGCTGGGCCGAGCTGAGACAGGGCAGGGAGTGGAGAGCGGAGGCTATGGCTCAGGCAGGCAGGCAGAGGACAGAGGCTCGCTGTGGGTTTCTTTTGCCCTGACTGGGACCACACACTGGACACACCCTCACCTATGGAGAGAAGATCAGACCCTACACCCAAACGAGGGCACTACGTTCATCCACCTCTGGCCTGCTAGCCCCCCTACCTCTACGGAAGCACAGTTCCCGCTCAGCCCAGTCAAAGCTATTCGCTGCTCTGGCACCCCAATGGTGGAACAAGCTCCCCCACGACGCCAGGACAGCGGAGTCACTGACCACCTTCCGGAGACACTTGAAACCCTACCTCTTTAAGGAATAACTGGGATAGTATAAAAGTAAAAGTGGTTGTCCCACTGGCTATCATAAGTTGAATGCACCAATTTGTAAGTCGCTCTGGATAAGAGCGTCTGCTAAATGATATAAATGTAAATGTAAGATGTGCCCACTCTATTGCCTCATACGTTGTGTCATATTCGTTCTGTTTCCTACCAGTCTATTGATTGTTCCATTCGTAAATAAGATGAACAATTGAAAAGCGGCGCCCACTGCCAAGCCTGCGCCAAGCCTCTGATCACCCGGGCATCTCCTTTCGCTCCATTTCTATCAACACATAATCATCTGCCCCTCCAAGCCCTGAGATCAAAACACACACACGCGGTTTCTATTCAACAGAGAATCGCACACACAAACACTCCGGTAACGGGGGGGAAAAAGCAAAATATATGCAATCTCACCCTCTGTGGAAGAATCTTGTCGGCCATTTTCCTTCTCTTGGCGCTACAGAGGGAGAGAAAGACAGAGAGAAAAAGGAAAAGAGAGCATGTTACTATGGTGACTGATAGTGTAGCGCCCAGGCCATCTGCTAAAATCCTGGGCCACATCCAGCACCCCAGTGTCCCAGCTGTGTGTGCGTGTGCGGTGCGCATGTGTGTGCATGCGTGTGTGTGTACGCAATGCAGATGTGTGTATGTGTTTTGGGGGATCCAGCAGAGGCAGGCGTATGGTATGCCACCTGGAGAGCAGGAACCCGTGACATTCAAAGTGTCACATTAAAAACCTCATGCACTAACCCCTCATGACTCATGCTATACCATCCACTGCGTATAGATTGTGTGTATGTTTGTGAGTTTTGGCTCCTATGCCAACTGTGGCTGTCTCCAGAGCCCAATATGCTATGTGACCACCAATGACAATGCTTCCGAATCCAACTTTCTTCTTTCCGATGAGGAATAAGATAGTTTCCTATTATCTTTCAGCAGCTCACAGACATGTCAAATTCTTTGGGTATGAAAAAGTATTGAAAATGTATGGAGAGATATTTCCATTTCCTGTCTTGGACATCATTGTTACGACACCTGATGGGTTACTTACCATGGATCCCTGCTAAGGCAAATGAGGTGTGCTGGTTTGGTTTAGATGCCTTCAAACTCTGCTTGGCTGTCTAGGTAGTGTCTGCAGCTGCAGTCTGTGCCTCCTCAGTGAACTTCGGCTTACATTATGCTTTTGTTATTTTTGTTACAAATCGGTTATCCCCGAAACAGTGGTGCATTGTTAATATTGGGCTCAGACACTGATTTGAGAGAACAAGTTTGAAATAGTATACAGTGTCATTGGTTTGTGCTCTCTCAAGCTCCTCAGCACATCTGGTTGGGGTCCAAGGGAAGCCATGTTGGAAGCCCTGCGTTTAGTATACCATAGGACGGAGACGGACATGTATAATCTAACGGTTTGGGATAGATATAGTGTGAGGAAATGGGAGTGCTGTAAAACTGTATTAGACATTGGTATACCAGCAGGGACCTCAGTCTCACTCAGAAATCTTTTAACGGAGCAGGGCAAAATAATTACGGTATGTTAACGGGCCAAATAGTCAAACACTTTAGAGCAATATCGGGGTCTGGGTTACATTTCAAAGGGATCTGAGGGTCTTAAACTGGGAATCAGTCTAGAGATCACATCTTGGCAAAACAGAAAAAGTTGTAGTTGATAGGAGAGGTTAGATTAGGGCATCCTTTGGTGTTCAGCTGACATTCCTAAAAGAGACACAGTATAATTTGTTCCCATCATGCCATGCTTCAGTCTACAGCATGCATCAGCACATTCTGATATACCGTTATGAACACCTGGTTAAGCTTTCCTCATGGGGAGAGAAACACAGGGGTTTGTTTGGGGTTACATGTGGGGGTGGGGTGACCGAGCCTACACTAGGAAGTGCTAGGGTCGAGTGTCGGGGGTCAGGGGAGAGGGCAGAGGGCAGAGTGGCGAGAAAAAACGTGTGAAAAAACGGACATGCAGCAGAATATACTCCTACTTTGATCCGAGCGTTGGATCTGATTGGGCATCTCTCATGTCCATCTGCCTCGCTGGCATCTCATTGGCTCCAGGGAATCCCACTGGCTTCCTAAGGGTTGATGGGATTTGAAGGTTGTCCGATTAGAGAGGTTGGTTGGTGTGGCAACACACTGGTAGCAGCAAGCAAGATGTCTGTACTGAAGGACACACTCTGTGGTCGTGTGTGTATGTGCATGTATGACAATGGGTGTGTTAGTATCGGTGCAAGTGTTTCGGTAGTATGTACAGGCAGCAGTGTGGGGGTGCATCTGTGTGCATGCACACACAAAGTGAGAGAGGAGGACATAGTGGATTCTGGTGATCAGTGGATCTGGACGTCTCATTGGATGCTTGTCCAGCAAGGAAGGTTCTCATTGGACCATGGGGAATCATGCTTCACTCACTTCAGTGTTTCAGTGTTTAAATGGCACACTAATAACAGGCAGACACACTGGTAATGAACACACTGGGACAAAGACACAGAGTAGCACACGAGGAAAAGGACAGAGAAGCAGAGAAAATGTCACCTCTCTAGTTCTGCTATGATCCAGGTAGTATTGATGAAAGTAGCTTGTGGGCAAACTGGGCATATCTGGGTGCTTCTATGTAGGCAGTGTGCTTTCTCTGTAGTGTTGAATATCTGTGGTGCTGTAGCTGCACCTGAACTTTTTCACGACTCAGTATGGACTGTCCTATAACTCTCAGCCAAAACACCCTGCCTATTGTCTAATGTATACACTGCAAAAAGTATCACATTAAAACTGATCTTTGACTCCACTGCAATTACACAAACACTATTTCTAGCATTTATGTACATTTACATTTGAATATGGCCTATTTTTCAAAGCAGTGGCAGGTTTGTGTGGGTAGGAAAGCGCTGTCTCGACACGGCGAGCTCACATGGGTCTAGCCAATAGCCATATGGTCTCAATGACACTGCAAACTCAGGTGGCTGTGCTCTGCTAGGCAGTTGACTGGGGAGGGGGCCGTCGACTACCAGAGGACAAGCATACACTTTCCCAGAGATAGTGTCACCTACTGGGTCACCCTGGGCCATCGATCAGGCAGGCCCGCCACAGGGAGGGAGCCATGGAGGTGGGGGGTGGAGGACCGAGACAGGACAACATTTCCCTGGCCCTTGTTTGACAAGGCTGCTTAATTGTGAGTGGATCAATTGCACTGCAGAGAGAGGAGTGCATTTTGATCTTCTCTCTAGTAACTATACCTGGCTAATTCACCACCCTCAGGAATTATTCATGAGTCATAACTCTTGGTCTACATGTGAAGCACAACACACTCTGTGGTTGTTCATTGGATAGACTGATTTGTTATGATTAATTATTGATAGATGTTTGTATTAGTGATTTATCGGAGGACTTACGTTAGATTATTATATAACTATTTGTTTTTTTTATATGGCTGATTGAATGACTCATTAATGGGTTGAGATTGTCATGTTTATTTCAAACTGAGCTATATTGGCATTATCTACTGGACGACTGGATTGTCCTGCATTATTATTGGGATAGACTGATTTGTTATGATTATTATTGGGATAGACTGATTTGTTATGATTATTATTGGGATAGACTGATTTGTTATGATTATTATTGGGATAGACTGATTTGTTATGATTATTATTGGGATAGACTGATTTGTTATGATTATTATTGGGATAGACTGATTTGTTATGATTATTATTGGGATAGACTGATTTGTTATGATTATTAATGGGATAGACTGATTTGTTATGATTATTATTGGGATAGACTGATTTGTTATGATTATTATTGGGATAGACTGATTTGTTATGTTTATTGGATAGATAGACTGATTTGTTATGATTATTAATGGGATAGACTGATTTGTTATGATTATTATTGGGATAGACTGATTTGTTATGATTATTATTGGGATAGACTGATTTGTTAACGGGGAGACAATGCATTACAGCCCAGAGCCCAGGTCAGCTCTCATTCTGAGGAGTGTAGATGGTAGACAACAATATACCATGACAGCTAACAGCTAACAGACCACAGACCACAAAACAGACCGAAGACAGCGGTCATACATTGGCTTAACCCAACCGCTCAATGTAGATGAGGGGTGAGCAGTGTCAGAGAGAGTAGTGGAGAGGTTGCAAGACTAAAGCAAGCAGAAAGGGGGAGCCCACACAGAGATACTCACTGTACAACAGTGACAAACACTCAGTCTGATAAATGCAGATGGTGAATTGCAGATATCACACACAGAAACATGACCAGAGGCATGGAGAAAACAGGGCTAGGGGACAAACCACAGACACAGAGCCATGCAGTGGTGAGAGGGGACGGGGTTGGATCTTGGATGGATCCTGGACGTGTGACTCACTTTCTGGCCCGGTTCTGGACGTTCTGCTGTTGCTGGACCTGCTGGGAGGGGGCAGGTCTCTTACGGCTGGGCTCCATGACCGGGGCGGGCAGGCCGGGCCGCACCGTGGGGCTCCCACCAAACGGAGGTCCGGGGGGGCCCATGGGAGCACCCTGGTGGGGCATCCTCGCTCCAGACGGCATTCCAGGACGCTACGGAGAGGCGATGGGAGACACAAGGGTTAGTTACTGCACATATCAAATACACAAACATCCTGGTTCAGTAAGTAGTGTACATTCATATGACTGGACTGTATCAGGTGTTTTAATGCAGGGCTGGAACAAAAGCCTGCACATACTGATGCCTTCCAGGACCAGGATTGGGAACAAGCCCAGGATTGTCCTAGCCCAGGTGCAATTTACTCCAGTTATTCCGTTAATAAGACATTGAATGAATGAAATCAAGTCTCATTGTATTAATGTGTGATGATTCCTTTTTCACTCTCTCATCTCTAATTATTGGTGATATCAAGAACACTCAAAACATATCCTGAAGAAAGGGCCAACAGTGCTTCCACACACACACCTGCTGGGACATTAGACTGAAGCCAAATGTCCAAGTGGCTAACAATCTAGCAGTGTGTGTGCTGTTGTGTCTGATGCCCGGGCCCCCACTAGCAGAGAGAGGCCTGCCTGACAACCTTGTGAGTCATGGGAACAGCTGGGTTGCCCAACACCTGTGGCCGTCTATCTGTTGGTCTGTCTGTCTGTCTATCTGTCCCATGGCAACAGCTGTTGTCCCAGGAAAAAGGCTCTGCTCAACGCCTCAGCTAACTGTCTGACTAGAGATGGAATCAAAATGTAACCCAAAGAGCTACCCAAATGAGAAAAGAGAACCCAAAGAGCTACCCAATGAGAGGATCGAACCCAAAGAGCTACCCAATGAGAGGAGAGAACCCAAAGAGCTACCCAATGAGAGGAGAGTTCCGGAACCCTAGGACTCTCTGTGCAACAAGCATGAAAATACAAAGGAACGTGGTTCTATCTCAGTTTTATTACGACATCAACGCTCCATGAGATTAGAAAATAAATAATTACTTTTTTGAGAGGGAAACATTTCCTAATACGGTATTTCCCTAAAATTGTTGACATTCCATTTGAGACTGTGGTAAATCCAACAAAACTACAAAGGAAACACCACGTCATTTTAAGAGGACATTGTATGCCAATTCTAATGACTGATTTTGCTTTTCTTTGTGGATAATATTGTATTATAATAATCATTCCACAAGGAGGAACTGTGTCACATTGGTTATTTCACTGCATTCTTTGAGTGAGGCCTATAATAACCTATTCTTACATACACCTCCTGTCCTGACTCCTTCAATAGCCACTTCTTATTCATAACAAATAGATGACAGAGGAGCCCTTGTGATCTGGCAAATAATCACCTTTACAACTTCGTATCAAAATGGTCTTGGTAGGAGAGTTTAAAAGCCTTCTAGGCAGCATTCCATATGGTGCCCTATCCCCTATATAGTGCATTACTTTTAACCAGAGCCTTAAGAGCCCTGGTCAAAAGTAGTGCATTATATTGGGAATAGGGTGCTATTTGGAACGCAGCCCTAGTCATTATATCAGTCAGGAAGTGAAGAGTTTCGTTCCAAAAAGCTATATCCACCAATTGTTCATATTTGTTTTTTCATCAGAAATGATTGCGTGTGTAAAATATTACTGCTCTCAGATTTTTTATTCATAGATTTTAAATGTGTATTAATATAGGGTTTGTTGCAAAATGCTATATAATGTTTGTTTCCTGTATATTTGACTGTGATATGTTGTTATCTCACCTAGCTATCTTAAGATGAATGCACTAACTGTAAATCGCTATGAATAAAAGCATCTGCTAAATGACTAAAATGTCAAATGTAAATATTTTACATACAGGTGACAGGTCTCATGTTGCTGTATTGATTCATTTTTTTAAACACTTTTACAAATATTAATGCCACAAATGTACCGTTTGTACAGTTCTTTATTACAAATGTAGTTATTTGTTACATTTGACTGTGTAAAACCTAGCAGTACTACTTATTTCTCTGAGAGTGAGGCGGATATATAGCGTTTTGCAACAAAACATTATTATTTGTCTCTTTAAAATGAAACCATCAAGTGATAGATTTCAAACAAATACATGTCTGTCATTGAACAACCCCATGCCATGATAAGATGGTGAAAAAACAGACCAATCTTTTTCTTTAAAAAGCAAAAGCTAATTCACCAACATTTCTGAAAATGGATATATAGTGTTTTGGAATTAAACTCTTCAAGTGGTTCTGCAGTATGGTGCCCTGGTGGCTGTGAAATGTAGCACCTCACAGAGTAGGAAACTGAGTGACAATGGTACCACATTACTGACCACCACCTCCCTAGTTCTCCTGGGAACAATAACAGACAGAACACAGTAACAGGCCATACAGGACTAGCGGTGTACTGCCAAATAAGATCTCTGGGATTATCTCCTATCACCCATGCTCTATTAAGCTAGTGCTTCTGGCATTTCTCATTGGGGAAAGACTGCAGGTTTTCAATAGGCTCTAAACTGTTGTGAAAGCAAGATAAACCCAGTTGGTGTGTATTGGGAGAAAAGATAACATAATGTATGCACATCTACAATTAAAATCAAACAAAGACACTTACTGACATCTGAACAAGCACACCCAAACACTATGAATCAACAGCACTCATAACTATATCTGTTTATTAACTCCACTTATTTGTCTGAGTGACTGTGTGAAATAGAGTTGTGGGAGACGGTGGGAGTAGACAGAGCCGTTTGTGTCACTACTGTGACCTCGGGTTCCCACTGGGCACACCATGTCATTGCAACGTGGATAATTGGGTAATATTTGTTTGAGACGTTGATCAATGAGATTACAAACACATAAAAAAGACAGCCAAAAGTTAGTTGAATTTCCAATGTGTTTTCACTATGCTTTCAACCATCTACAAGCACAACCAAATTCCAATGGAAATGTCTGATATATTGTTTGTTTATACAACAGATTAATGTGTTATCACTGTGCTTCATCTAAAAGCAGAACCAAATGACCTGAATTGCAGTTTAGATTACATTAAAAGTACATGGTGCAAGTGATCAATGCCGTTTGGGAATCTGCACAGATTATTACAGCAATTGTGAAGATCTCCACAGACCTGCGACGGCCTCTGCATGCTATCTTGAACATGATCGCTTATATGATTACCTACATTTATGTTTGGTTGATTTGGAGACTTCTTTAAACTTGTCGACAAGTTAATAGGCTATTTATTGTATTTCAAAAGTGATATTGAATGTTTTTTGGTTGTCACCGCAACCAAATATCAACATTTGAAGGAGATTTATATTCTACTTGGATAGTTCCATCTGTGCCACTGACTTAGTCTGGCTTTAATTCCAGTTTGTTTAGAAATTAATAATTGATCTGAGGACCCATGCCAAATCTTTTCAGTCTCCTGAAGGGGAATAGGCTTTGTCGTGCCATCTTCACGACTGTCTTGGTGTGTTTGGACCATGATAGTTCGTTGGTGATGTTGACACCAAGGAACTTGAAGCTCTCAACCTGTTCCACTATAGCCCCGTCGTTCCACTACAGCCCCGTCGTTCCACTACAGCCCCGTCGTTCCACTACAGCCCCGTCGTTCCACTACAGCCCCGTCGTTCCACTACAGCCCCGTCGTTCCACTACAGCCCCGTCGTTCCACTACAGCCCCGTCACCATCTCAACCAAGAATCGAAGTTAAAGAGTAGGACTAAATGTAAAAAACTTTAAATGTACTTCAAATAAAGTTTGATTTGATTTAGTTCAATATCACTAAATTCAATCACTAAATATCATTACATTTTAAATTAACCAGAGGTTGAAACACTAGGCCTATTGTATTGTCTATTGTTAGTTGAATTCTGGGTTGAATTGAAACAATAACTGTTGAGGACTTTGCAAACGCTATATAGGCCTAAATAGCATCATTGATGATATATGAGCGATAAAGTTTGTTCACATTTCATTTGCTCTGTTAAACCTACCTTTTGGAATGACTTTGATAGCAACAGTGAATGTATTTCATTTTTAAATGGAGATCTCTCCACAATCATTCTCACAATAGCACTAATAATCTGTTACAAATATCATAGCTAAGCAGGGCTTGTTTAAAACCCTGGATGGGAGACCAAAGGGTAGCTGTAGATAAATTCTCCAGTAGGAGGTGCTGCCCAACCTATAGTTTTTTTTCTTATAGTGGATATAACGTTGAAGATCTGACGTTGTTTTAAAGGTACAAATTCAATATATTGTCTATGTGGTTACCCCGATGACATAATCCTGTGGTTGAAATTTCACCCTCAAAACAACAGTTTGTGTTGGTTACTTTTTTCAAATCCAAAGTAGATTCCAAATTGCACCATATTCCCTTCATAGTGCACTACTTTTGACCAGGGCCCATAGTGCTCTGGTTAAAAGTAGTGTACTATATTGGGGATTATGGTGTCATTTGCAACCATACTAACAGCAGGCCCACATTGGAAAACAGTCTCAAAAACAGCCATTTTATAACCAGTATAACTTGAGGAACAAATGGCAATGGGAAGTAGGCCTACAGTGTCTGTATTTTTTAAAATATATTCTACGCTCAAAGTGCTCAGATAACACCAATAGCCACAACAATGCCATAGTCTGTGACTGTGGCTTTAAATTTCATATGACCTAGTGCCCTTTAAAATGTACATGGAGGGCGAATGTCAATGACATGCCTGTCAATCGTTTCTGGCTCAAAGTTGAGGAGAGATTGACTGCATCACTATTGGTCTTTGAATGAGGCGTTGAGGGTACCAAACTATTTGTTCAAGCAGTTGGCACACAGTTTGGACACTCATCAGTACAACACAAGACATGCAACCAGAGGTCTCTTCACAGTACCCAGGTCCAGAACAGAGGCTGGGAAACACACAGTATTAAATAGAGCCATAACTAAATGGAACTCTCTGCCACCCCAGGTAATTCGAGCTAGCAATAAAACCAGATTTTAAAAAACGGATAAAAGAACACCTTACGGCACGACTGGGACTGTGAAGAGACACACAGAAATGTTTATGCATTTGGTATTGTATTATGTATGTGATACGTGGTTGGGATACGACTGTGATATGTGGTTGTCT